TAGTCAACAACAGAAATAAATTGAAAAAGTTGTCTTCCATATTAATGAATGTTGATTTTTGAGAGCAACGTTTCAGTTGCTTGTTCACTAAAGATTTTAAGCGAAACTTGATGCTTTAACATTTACTCTTCAAGATGGAAAAATCATTAACGTATAGTGTGACCAGTAACCCAACCGGTACATCTCTAGTTTCTTTTTGGAATTAAAACCTGTATAGACACGTGTTTGTTTCGATCGAGGCGTAAACCAAAAACGCGTGTATATTACGGGCAGTTTTACTCGAGTTTAACACGTGTTTTTTGAGGTTTTAAAGTTAAATTTTTATATCACATATCAGTGGTTTCACATTCCTTTGTAAATTTATCATAATATAGTACTATGCGTCCGTCACGGTGAAACCAATAATATTTCAACTGGTATTTATGATAAATAGTATCACAGAATAAAAACCATTCTTGGCACAAGTTATTCTTTTTGTTTTAGAAGGTTTTAAACACGCAAGAGAAACCAAGAGTAACTTTTTACTGAGTTATGCCGGCTGGGAATGACAAAAATAAAAAAAAGTTTGAACTTCTGAACTTCTGGCTCTGAAATTATTCTCTAGACTTATTCTAAAACATGAGAAAAAGAACTTTAAAAAATTTATACTGTGTGCCTGTGGTCCCAAAGGATGTTTTTCGTTAAGTTTAAATTATCCAATTTGGCAAATAAAACAACCACATGCAATAGACGTTTGTGTCAAAGGCTTGATAACAATCGTAGAGATATGGTAGAGAGGTGACGATGAATACGTCTTTTTGCAAATTTTCGAATGCTGGCAATAGTTCAATCATTTAAATATTTGTCGCCATTTATCCGTAGAACTTAGAATGCAGTTTTTTGTGACGCTTTGCTATTTGGCATTGTAATTGATTTCTTTTAATTGTTTCTTTTTTTTAAAGTTTTTTAAAACTTTCTTGCAACAAAAGAATGTTTTTTTTAAATTCACATTATCATCAATTGTTAAATTAAAATGTGATCAGATTTAAAAAAAAATATATTTTAAACTACCGCAATCTGATGTCAATTGTTTATTTTAATTAACATTTAAGATAAACCAATTACTTCTAAATTAAACCAAATTAAAATTAATTCATAAACCAATTATGAATTAAATTAAAAAGTGATCAGATTTTCAAAATTTGCGCTTAGTAACCACAATTTGATGTCAAACTATATTTTAATTTACACTTAAGGTGAAATATAGTTATAAAATTGTGACAAAAATAATTTTTTTAACGTTCAACAAAATAGCATTTCCCACTTGAGAAGACAATTTTTAAAAAAAATTTTTTTGATCATGTTATGAACTTAGCCCCCTCAAATAGAGAAGGTTGTAAGCTTTACATGATCACCAATTCTAAACAAGTATAACAAGTAAAAGCAAGATATTTTTTGATGAAACTCGAATTTTATTAAAGAGCTTTGGTCTGCTTTAGGTTGACATTTTTTTTAATACTTTATTCATTGACGGGAGTTAAAAGAACAAAAGTATTGGGGTATTTACTCAATATTTTATTGGGAATAAATACCCCCAGCACAAAAGTGCTGAGGTATTTATTCCCAATAAATATTGGAGCTTTTTTCTTAATTTCTGAGAGCCAAAACTTTTTTTAAAACATCGTCATTTAACATATCAAATATTAAGAACATATCAAAGTTTGCACCATGTTCATAAATCCAAAAAATACCTGTTTAAACGCAAAAATCTGGCTTTGACAAAATGAGAATATATTTAAAATAGTTGCACTAAGAAGGTTTGTATAATACTTCAATAGAAAGATTTTTTTGTTCCTTTTAAATGAGGTCGATCATAAAAATGAGGTTGGTCATGAATTTTACAGGTTGTGGTTACTATACACTGTATAACGCTTAATTGATTTTAAAGATTTTTTAATAATTTGATATAGATAAAATATTTGATTAAAAATTGAAAAATAGGAGCTTATAGATTTTTTATTTCTTATAGAAAACGTAATTTAAAATTTAAGTCTAATAAAATACATTAAGAAGAGTATACCTTTCATACCTTTCAAGTTTTCAAAATTTTGTGTTTGAAAACTGTGTATCCTAAAAAGAAAAGAAACTGCGGGAAAAAAAAAAAAAAAAGAAAAAAAAAGTAAAATTCTACAAAAAAATTTAATAATCATAAAAAATAAATTATTTAGTCTCTCTACCTTTCCCAATAATCCTTTTTTCACGAATCTCAACCATTTCCGGCGTGTTTTTCTGGGGCTTTTATAACGTTATTATAATAACTACGTTATTTTTGTTGCGCATCTGATGTCATTTGCATTAACCAGAGCTGGAACCACAGTTTTACGTATTCAGTATAGCTATTATCTGGTCATGTTGTGAACTCCAAACATTTCTATTTTATTACAAGTGTCAAATGAAGATGTATTACAAAAAGTTAAAGTAATTGGAGTAATTGGAACAAGAACTCAAACTACATCCCGCTTACCTAACCAATTGGATGGGGAGTATTTTAAACAAAGATTTTTTGAAAATTTAAAATAAGATTCAAATTTGTTGACAAAATTCAAATTAACCTGTAGCAATGGTCATAAAACTATTTTGGTGTTCAGAAGTAATGACGAAGTAAAGTTTACTACCCCCTCATTTTGGGGATGTAGTTGTATGAAAACTACAGATTTACGTTTTTCAGCAGCAGATTTTTAGGATTAAAACTATTTCAAATTTTTGTTCTTTAAATTTTTACTAACTTCGGCATTTTCAATAAAATAATGAATTATTCAAAATTTGATTGCAACTTTTAAGACTTTTTATTCTTAATAAGGCAAAATAAAAAAAAATAAAAAAACTATAATAAATAATAAAATAATAAAAATATATACTTAGCAAAGTTTACTTACACTGATACTTAGCTTTAGTGCTAAACAAACTTAAGCTGGGATCATGAAAGGATGTTTTGTGATAGGAGACGCTTAATAGCCTGTTATAAAATTTTTAGGTTTCAAGTTGTGTTTTTTTTTCAATTTGTAACAAACCGTTCTTAGGCACACACCATATTTAGCAGCAGTTTGCTTTTGAGTCAGCTTTTTACATTTTACATCAAGACATTCGTATGGGTTGTCTTTGTATTTTTAGTTTTGTAACAACTCAAATTCGGGAAAATACATATGCTATTATTTTGATTTTTTTTTTTTTTTTTTTTTTGTAGTTGCTTTGTTTTTTAGGTACCCCAAGAAGATCTAACGGTCTTGTCAAAGAGCGCCACGAAAGAGTTTTTAACTTGGAAGTTCACGCCTCAATCCTTACAGATGGCGCGAAATATGTCCTACATAATGGCTTAGCTTCAAACTCTGGATTTCTTGCTTCTAAAGCAAGCATTTTAATCACTGCAGCACAACCAATTTGGCCCTGATTATAAATCTCGGTCAAACCGGTTGTGCTGCAGTGTTTTAATTAACTTTCTGGGTATACCCAAAAAGTTAATTAAAACATTAAATATTTACATAATGAATCTGCTTATAATCAGAACTATATTTTGTTTGAATATAAAATAATAGCAAAAGGATTTAAAAAGTATCGTTTTTAATTGTATTTATTTTGCACGTGGTGGATAGCTATTCAAATTTCTACCAAAAAAGAAGTTAATTTGTAAAACTATTAATTTTAAATTATCTATACCAATAGTTTAACAATTTTTTTGTTATAAAACACAACAGTTGTTAAACTATCGGTATAGATAATTTAAAACTAATAGCTTTACAAATTAATTTTTTTTTGGTAGAAATTTTAAAGTTATATAACCGTCGAGTTATATAACGCTCTAACGTTGAGTTATATACGGTTATTTAACCGTCGAGTTCTACATCGACTACGTCAAGCTTTACAGTGTTTTGCATTTGTAGTTCAAATTTTTAAATACTAGCGAGTTAATCATCATAGACACGTCGTTGTGCAATATTTACCGTCATTGTGTAATATTTACAAAGAAAAAGCATTTTTAATTGATATTTAATGTTTTTCATACCTAAAGTTTTTAAATCTATCAGAAAAAGTTATAAAAAGTGCAATTTGTATTAGTATGCCTCATGCATGGGGCACATTGACAACGTTGTATAAAAATTCATAAACCATAATCAATGAATGAATGAGCCAGACATTCATTTATTAAATGTGATTTATGAATTAAATCGTTAGAAAATATCGAATCAATAGAAAATAATAAACCGTTAAAATTGTTTTCGATAAAATAAAAGTTACAAGCTTTAGATTTTATCAAGTTTCATAATTTATATTTAGCTTTTTAATTTATTTAATTTTGAAGTAAACTTGTAAGAGACAATAAATAATTTATGATAATTTATGAAGAGGAAGAGGTGCAGATTCGTTTCTAACAAAAACTGACTAATTGGTAGCAAATGAATTAATTGAATTTTTAATTTCATTTTAAAATAAATAATTAATTTTTCAATAGCATTTTCTGTAAGTAAGTTTTTATTTTGTGGTTTAACTGAATTATTGATTTTTTGTAGAGAAATTCAAAACGATTTATTTTATGATGCGAGAAAAGAGAATGTTTTCTGGCAAAACAATTACCGATGAAACCTAATATATTACGAGAGTTGTGGTACAGTTTTTTTTTTAATTTATATGTTGCTTTTTTTTAAGGTAGCATTACTTATTAAGGTCTAAAGTTGAAGTTTGTGAGACACAAGACGTCACTTCTTTCGTCTTGTGCGTTAATTCCAATTTAACGTCTAACATTCACATAAAAAAATTTGTTGTTTGCTCATTATAATCTATAGAAATCTTCTAAAATTTAAATAATTAAACTCCAAACAAGCAATCGGTTTATTATTATATTTTCATTAATGTAAAAAAATATTAAAGTTTGACACATTAGTGGTAAATCCTACGTTTGCAAAGTAATGTATTATATTTCACGTCACTGAATAGGAATTTATTTCAATAGTCTGTTTCATAATTTGGAATAATACTGCGGTTAAAATCGTGTAACTTTACATCAACGTTCAGTTTCAACTTAATCTTATCAAGTTTTGTAATTTTAATATTTCCAACATTTATACCCTGACATTAAAGTCGTATTAAAAACTATAATATTTTTATATTTTGCATCAGGTTGACAGTTTTTATAGTCAAGTAGTATTAAATTTAAAAAACATAAAAAGATTATTTGCAATTTTTTTTTTTATTTGTATATTAAATTTTATTTACTGTTTTTTAAATAATTTTTTTTTTCTTTTTTGCTTCTATTTGTCTAAAATTATTATTTTTTTTTTAGATAACCAGAGTTCGGTTCCGTGATGTTTGCAAAAATAGTTTGTTTTTCTTGTTGCTTAATAACAGGCGTAAATTTAATAACCTTTAATGGCGTTTCAAGTTACGCTTCAGCTAACTTCAATTCAAATTCAACAAAAAAATTTAATGAAAAAATGTCCTTTGTGATAAGAACGCGCCAGAGCTCGGGTTTTTTGTTGGGTTCATACAACAGTCGTGATAGCTTTTTTGCTGTAGGAATTAATAATGGCAGACTTTGTATTATTGCGCAGCACCAAGGTGATCCATTTACACAATATATAGGTTAGAAATTTTTTTAGTTTTTTCTTACAAAATGAGTCACAATATTTAAAAGATCTCTTAAAAAAATTTCGAATAGTTCAAAATTCACCTAAACTATTTACAAAAAATTGTTAATAGAATAAAATCAATTAGTTTCAATAATGTGGGTACTCTAATCTGGATCAATAAAATCGATCCAGATTAGTGTACCCACATTATTGGTTGGGAAGGTGTTTTTTATTGTGTGCGTTCCCTAATTAATCTTCAAAATTGTTTATTCTTTAGGCGGTCAAGTTGACACTGGTGCGTATATGAATATTGTTTTGGAGAGAACTTCTGATAAAAAAACGAATCTTAGTATTGAATACACCAATTCTACATTCTTGACCAACGTCACGACAACGAACGTTATATTGGATTATGATTTTTTGTCATCACTTTGGTTAGACTTGATAAGCAATAACTTAATTTTTATAGGAAAATCTGATAACTTAAGTTCCTACTTTCCCAATCCTTTTAAAGGTTGTCTATTTAACATTGAAGTTAGTTCGGTAAGGTTGCATCTTGATTCAAATAATACAGAAGAAGGTTGCATTAGCGCTAATACTTGCTTTAAAAATCCATGTGTACATGGTTATTGTGTCGATATTTTTGATGACTTTGAATGTGTATGCAACATTTTTTATACTAAAAAATTATGCAACGAAACTTTAAATGTGAATTGTTCGTTTTCTGAAGCAATTTGCAAAAATAATTCCACTTGTATTAATCTCCATGAAGGAGTTTTTGCTCCAACGAAGTTTAGTGACAATGGTAAAGATTTTTTTGAATGTATGTGTGAACCAGGTTACAAAGGATACTTTTGTGAAAGAGAGATAAATGAGTGCGAGAACGGTTTTTGTCAAAATTCAGAAAAATGCTCAAATTTGATTTTAGATTATGAATGCAAATGTCTTATTGGCTGGGGTGATAAAAACTGCACAACTAACCTAAATGATTGCAAACCGAACCCGTGTGAAAACGGCGGTACTTGCATTGACCTTTTAAATGCCTATGTCTGCAATTGCAGCAACGGTTTTGAAGGAAAAAACTGCACAGAAGATATTAACGAATGCGCGAAAAATATTTGCATGAATAATGGAAGCTGTTTAAATAATTTTGGAAGTTTTAACTGTACTTGTCATAGAGAATATTTTGGAGAAAAGTGCCAATATAACAACACCATGATTTGTGAAATTAAAAACCCTTGCAAAAATGGCGTATGCAGCGATGATGTTTACGGATCAAACTGTAAGTGCAATACTGGCTATATTGGGAATTTTTGCGACCTGGATCGAAACAAGTGCGAGTCATTATTTTTATGCGGGAGTGATGCTTGTTTAGATAGACAAAATAATTCAAAAGATTTTGAAGAATGCAAGAAAAATTTTTTTAATGAACATAAAGTGGACATAATTATTGGTGTTAGCATTGGTGTGGTTATATTAATTGCAGTTATTACAATTGTTTTAATTATACGTTTTTGTAAGAATAAAAGTGGAATGGAGGGAACTTATAGTCCTAATCGTGAAGAGCAAAACGCATCACATTTAGAAATGAATACTTTAAAAAAACCAAATGCAGAGCGTCTGATATGAACTGATGTGTAAAGTAACTTAAAAGCAAAAAGATAGAAAATACCAAGAGATTATCAAGTTTATAGAAAAAAACGAATAAAAAAGAAGGTAGAAAGAAAAAAAGCCTAAACACAAAAATGAAAAAAAGTGCATTAATAGCTTTAAGTATAGTATATTCTTGAGTATATTGTATTATAAGATATTATGCCATATTATTATAAATATGATAGCATGACGACGCCACAAAGATAAAATAAAATAACAATATCAATTTATCATGAACAAAAAATACTAATGTACAAGTTGATTTGAATTAAATAGCAAAAAGATGCTATTAATTTATACCTTCAAGATTGCAAAAAGTAAGCGCAAAAAGAAAAACACAAATGAGTTTAACAAATAGAAAAATTTTAAAACGTTTTGTTAAGATTTTAAAACCGACAAATTACTTTCATATTTTTATAATGTCTTTAATATCATTTTAGATTAATGTAAAAAGATTTTTTCAGTTTTATATACATATATATTTTTTTAGTGTAAATTTTAAAACATTTTTTTTACATTTTTTAAAAAGTTTTATATATATAGTTTTTAGAGCTTTATATGGTTTTTCTAGTTTTCAAATTTTTATCCAACCCAAACTCAATTTTTTTAAAAAAAATTTAGCAAAAACAGAAAGATAATAACGTTTTAGACAGTATATTGTCCAGAGTGCAATCGTGCAAAATAAAGAGTCTGCACGTAGTGTATAACCTTTTTTTTTTATTTTAAGTTATTTAGATGTTCCAAGAAGTCCTAACGGTCTTATCACAGAGCGCCGTGGAATAGCATTTAATCAAGAAGTATACGTCTCCTTCCTCACCAATGATGCATATATGGCCAGTGCCATATATGCATATGGACCTCCAGTTCTGAAGCCAGAGCTCTAAGTGAAAATTTAGTTTACAGGGATTGTAACGCTGGTAGTAATTTGAATGAGGGAAACCAAGAGGGGTCGGATGGGGGGCAAGAAAACCTTTTTTCAATATTGCCCACAATACATATTCATTGAAAATAATCAAAAAATGGCATTAATACCAAGTTTGAAAAATCTGCAAAATTGAAAAAAGTTCTGATTATGCATAATTGTTACCAATTGACCATAATTTTGAAGGATTTTTGTTTAAAGCACCTGCCGCTTCTCTGCACCTGCTCAAAGTTGTAACTTTTAAAGGGAAATTTTATTATCAAAGGAATTTACTGTTAAATACAATCTTCTATTAAAAAAAGATTCCAAAAAAAAAATTGTGTTTTTTCAGATAGAATCTTTTTTTAAACATCGTAGATGTTTAAAACATAATAGAATCTTTCTTGCTTACTAAAAGTGAGATATAGTGAGAAAGAACATAAAAATTAAGGAAATCATTATCATAGTCAGAATGACCGAGGATTTATTTGAATTATCAAAAAAAATGCGAAAACGTTACGATGAGGCTGTTAGACATAAAATATATAAAAATGAAATAAACTACAAAAACTAGAATACTTTTTTTAAATGATTTTTTGCTTGTTGAAAAAAACAGTGAAAAATAGGTAAGAAATTATTTTTTGCACATTTATTTTTACAAACTTTGGTAAAAATAAATGTGCAAAAAATAATTTGCCTCAGAAGCAACTGATTGATGGAAATACCAATATTGTAAAAAATAAATGTGCAAAAAATAATTTGCCTCAGAAGCAACTAATTGATGGAAATACCAATATTGTAAAAAATAAATGTGCAAAAAATAATTTGCCTCAAAAGCAACTAATTGATGGAAATACCAATATTGGAAAAAATAAATGTGCAAAAAATAATTTGCCTCAAAAGTAACTAATTGATGGATATATAGTTTCATATTTTTGAACTTTTATCAAAATTTGGAGTAGCGCCAGAAAAATTAAAAATCGTTAAAATAATTATAATTCTGGTGATTATAATTATGGTCTATTGTTTTAAATTAGACCCATTTCCGTCATACCTTTCTTTCTTAAAGTTACTGAAACCTATTTTGCACTACAGACTTTAATAAAATGGAAAAAAATTTAAATCTTTTTAATTTTGTGCAACCTCAAAATATAATAAAGCTGGCGGAAGATGAAATAAAACTGTCGGAAGATGAAACAAAACTGTCGGAAAATAAGCTATTTGAATCAGCTAAATTATTACAACAGAATTACCGAACGATTTAAAAAAAAGTTTTTCAAACTTAATGCGACAACAAATCTCGTAATAGGCTTGGTAATTTCAAAATGTTTTGTTGGAATTTTTACGCACATAGTTTGTTATTGCTGAGGCATAAAGCACTGGAGATAAAAAAAAAAAAAAAATACCCAAAGTTACTATATTCATGATATTTTGAAAAAAGTTAAAAACTTCAAAAAGTACTTTTAAAATGCACTCAAACATTGAAAAGAAAATGATATTTTTGCGGATGGAAAAAGAGCAGAAAAACATAAAACTACTACATCAAGTGAAGATAAAATAACTATATTAATCAGTAAACGTAATAAAAGATTAACAACCGCCAAAAATATCACCCAATTAAATGATATTTATTTAAAAGCAAGATCAGTAAGTACAACGACAAAACAAAAACACGACAAAAACGACAAAACACCACTGTCTCCGAGCTTTTTGGTCGTGTTGCTGTTAAGAAACTTCTACTAGGTGGCGAAAACAAAAAAAAAATGGTTAGAATGGAACAATATTTTTAAGTTGTGGATAAATGAAGAATGGAAACATGTATTGTGGACAGATGAGTCCAAATTTGGAGTTTTTGGTGATAACCTAAGACTTGTCTGTGTATGAAGAACAGCAAAAGAAAAGATAGAACCATAGTGTGTAGTTCCAACAGTGAAATATAGAGATAGGTGTGTAATTGTGTGAGATTGTTTTTCTTCAACTAGCACTGAATATCTTGTAAAAATTGATAGCATAACAAAAAAAGAACAATTTTAAAAAATAATATAGGAAAACGCACTAGACGACTGATCTTACAAATCCTATAAGAATCCTATAGGATGAGATGCACAAGTCCCTGCAGGACCTACAAGAATCTTTTAAAGAATCTTGTAGGATTTGAAGGAATTTTTATAAGATAATATAAGATCTACAAAAATATTTAAAAAGATCTTGCAGGATTAACAGGATTCTTATAGGATGCTGAAGGAAAATTTTAGATTCGTATATATACGGCCGTAGCCCTCCCCCTTAATCCAGCACTGGTTCCTATAGGAACCAGTGATAGATTAAAGAGGAGGGGGCTAGGGCCCTAAAATTTCGGGATTCCGAAATTATTAAGCGGACCTTTTTCTTTTTCTACTGTTTGAGTCATTTTTATGCTGTGGCACGTTAAAAAGGACTCCAATCCCTGAAAAGTCTTAATACGCCAATGATAGGAACCATAACGTTTATTATTTTATAATTAATATCATAAATCTAATAACCAAACTAAGAACATACGAAGTTAGGTTTTTATTTTGATTGGAAGGAAAGTATGTCTATTCTTCTTTTTAATTACTGATAATAGGTAAGTTAAAGTTTGAAATAACATTTTCTTATTAAAAAAAAAAAATTCTGTATAAAAAAAATTTTTCACATATCATTATTACAGAATCACAATTGCATTGCTGATTACTTTCGTTTTTGTCTTCCTATCTAGGCCGCTCTGATTAAGACTTCGTCTGACGCACGTCCACGAGTAATTGGCAAAAACTGTTGCAAGTTGCTCTTTGAGATTTCGCATTATTGCATCAGGAACTGTGGTTCTATAATAAGAAATAAAGATATATAAAAAAAATATAGAAATCAGGCAATTAATCATTAATTCAAAATTTAAAACCCGTCCCGCCCCTTAACCCATCGCAGACACAAGGGGGAGGGGATTATTACCCCCTGACAAAATTTTTAAATTATTTAAAGAGTATGACTAAGTAAAAAGTAAAAACACTTGAAATTTTAGCTACTTGCTCCATATATTTAGGCGAATTTAAGTAAAAAAAAATTCATTTGAAATGCCTAATCTGAGCATATTAGTCAAATCCATGGATCGATTCGGTCAAACGAATGACTGGTCAAAAATTTAAATTTTTAATTCTGGCTTTTCTTTGTAATCCTTAAGTTTCATATTTTCCAAGAAGCTTTTTTTTATACTTACATATTTATAATTATTTCAATAATTGAAGTATGAGAAGTTGTTAGTCCAAGATCCTACTTTTTTGGATCTGGATCATGATCCAACAAGTTAAACTAATTGATCCCAAATTTTCAAAATAGGTTAAGAAAAATAGAAAAATTAATAAAAACCCAAGCACTGAAAGTATGATTTTCTAGATAACCCCCTCCCACCCTGTGCCAACAACTTATAAAAAATAGATAAGCCTTAAAGCTGCTGCCCAATAACATTACCTACATAAAAATGCCCTAATTAAAAAACCTACCTATCAGCCTTTCCATGAGTTGTATTCAGGCTTTCTCTGAAACATTTTAAATTTAATAGTATCGTGTTAAAAATACAACAAAATTTCATACTTTAAATATATATATATATATATATATATATATATATATATATATATATATATATATATATATATATTATAATAATAATTATTAATACAACAAACTTTATGCATATTTATGTTACCAAGTTTATAAAATTTTCATAAAATCCATAATATAAAATAATCATGATATAGCAACAATTTATATATTTCTTTAACAAAAATTAAAAAAAAATATTAGATTCTCAAACAGCATGTTCATTATAATGAACATGCTGTTTGAGAATCTAATATCTTAATTTTTATCTAATATCTTAATTTTTGTGACGTGATTTAAATGCGCTATTGGAAGGCATTATGAATTGCGGGAAAATAAATAGCACTTGAGTACAATTTATTTTACCGCAAATCATAATGCCAAATGATTTAAATCACGTCACTCTACGACTCAATTTACTCAGAAAGTCACGCAATTCAATGTACACTCTGATTGCGAGAAAAAATTTTAATTCAACTAAATTTTTTTGGTAATAATTTAATTTTAACGTAAGGGACAGATTGTCCCGGGCGGCAGATTTCCAAGGGGCACCAAATAGAATGAAGGTACCTTGGAAAAAAGGTCCTTTACCGATAATATAGGAGAATTTCGATAATTAAGAACGCCAATCATGTTGCTGTGCCGGGCGGCGAAACAGTTCTTGGCGGCATTTTATATATATATATATATATATATATATATATATATATATATATATATATATATATATATATATATATATATATATATATATATATATATATATATATATATATAGTTATTTGTTATTATTTAATTTTTTTACAACACTTTTATTTATATACATTCAATAAAAATAGTTTTTAATTATTTTGTAATTATAATATATTTTTATTTATTTCCATACTTATAATGTTGTGTAGCGCAGGTGGTAAGGCACTTGGCTAATGGTCTAGTGATCCGGGTTTCGAAACCCACCACCGATAAGTTTTTCATTTTTCAAAATAAATTAAAAAAATGGAAAATCTTACGAATCCTTTAAGATACCCTACAGGATAATTACAAGATTTCTTATGATCTTATAGGATTTGCATGACAAATAAAGTCTTACGAATCCTTTAAGATACCCTATGGGTAATCAAAGGATTTCTTATGGTCCTATAGGATTTGAAAGACAAATAAAATTTTACAAATCCTGTAAGATATCCTGTAGGATAGTATAAGATTATATGCGATCATATAAGACTCATAAGTTGTCTGTATGATAGTCGACTAGTGCGTCGTTACATCTGGTTTACAATTACTTCTGGTCCTGGATTAGTAGTCATGCATGATAATGATCCAAAAGATTTTTATTTTTTTTTATTTTTTTAATTTTATTTTTTAATTTTCTCAATAGAAAGTTACAGTTTATAAAATAACATGAATAATAAAACAAATGACTGGAGCAAGAAAAAGACACCAGTTTGTCTTATCACCGAGCCCCATTATCCCAGTGGGCATGCGTCGTCTGGGAGACGTTCGTTCGACGTCTTAATAACGTCTGGGCGTCCAGGAGACGTCTTACAGACGATCTCCGAACGATGCGTGCCTATCGTTTCTGGCACGCGTCATTACAGGCTGTCATAAATGTTTGTGATAAAATACAAATAAAATGTTTCATATATAATAAATATATATAAAATGTTTCATAATTGACAAGATTAGCGGGCATTAGGTGACTATGGTTCAATACATTATTAATTAAAAGATATAACTGCTGCTAACCTAGTGGGCACGGACGTAAAAAAGATGTCTTTTAAACGTCTTATACATGTTTCAAACGTCTTTTGAACGTTTTGGACGTCTTTTTTAGGTCCGGTGCCCACTGGAAATTTGTGAACCGCATTAAGAAAAAAGCTATTTAGATATCGAGAAATTATAATTTTATCACTAACTAACTTATCATTTTAGTTTTTTTGGCAGATTACTTTTTCTACAGTTATTATTACTGACTATATCTTTAACCGTACTCCATGTTTTCTCAGCATTTTCATAGTTATTTTAACAAATTTGAATAGCAAAGCTTTTTTGAGAACTATTTTGTTTTTTCAAATAAGATAACATTAAGTAAAAAAATACCGACCTGATAATTAAAACTAATATGTGGAATATAATGGTTCGTTATTAACAAAACTTATCATGAAAAAATCAAATTATAAACCACTTTTCATTAAAACAATACTTATTTTTTAGCAAAAAAAAAAAGAACTTTTTATCGTTATTTTTTCAATTATTTTAACTCAAACCTTTAAACGATAAAAACACAAACTTTTTGAACTTTAAAATATTAAAATTTTAACTTTTATTTTGCTTTTATTAATAAAACCTTTTTTAAACTTTAAAACCCCTGCAATTTTAGTACTTAAAACTAAATAAAAATACTATATTTTGACTTGAAACTAAATAAACTATAAGGATTATAAGGACTTGAAACTGTTAAACTACGAGGGACTTGAAACTAAACAAAAATAACTATATTTAATTTTAGAACATTATTTTAACATCAAAATTTCGTGCGACAGATTCTTTCATGTGTAATGATAATAGTTTAACAAAAAAAAAAAAAAAAAAAAAAAAATTGAATAGCTTTTTGATAAGATGAGAGCCGCTGACTATTGCGTATAAATTCACGCTAATTATACTACTTCCTGATATCACCACATAAAGTTGATCCAAAAAAAAAAAACATTTTGAACTTCATTGCTTACGTCTTAGAAATCTTCTCGTATCATTATATCAATATAAGGGTGGATAATCTGCCCTAGATTAATGATATGAGCATACCGAAAGATTTCTGTAAGCAGTGAAGTTCAAAATACTTTTTATATATATTTCAACTTTTTAAATAACGTTTAGTTTAATGCTTTTTCTAATTTAAAAATGAGAATCATTTTCTATTTTGCCTTTTTTTTTTTTTTATTTTGATTTAGCGTATATACTCAAAAGGTTGAAGCAAGCCCTTCATTACGCATGCGTTAACCTTAAACACATTTGGCGTATTAACGCCAAGTTTAACTTTAAAAGCTGCGTGCTCATTCAATAAAAATTAAATACGTCTTAACTTAATCAACAATTTGCTTCAATCAGCTTGTGACTTTAAATTATCCAGATGGTAAAACTACAATGCTTTTATATATTCACCATTATTCTACCCCCTTTATTATAATTATAAAAAATTCACTCCCGGGTGCCACGTAAAAGTTAGTGTATATCTGTCTCTATAATTTTTTGCATTTTTTTTTTTTGTACAAATGAGTTGTAACAAAAATATAATAAAAAAACATAATAGTTTCTAGAAAGGTAACAAAAAGAAATCGCAGATTATCAAACGCTTTAATATAAAGCCTTTAATTGGTAATAAATCGTCTCGAAGTAGTAAAAACTATACGTCGTGATGGGTGCCGCATTAATAAAAATGATTAACAGAAAGCATACAAACTTTACTGTCTTACCAAGAGAAAAGCCGAGAACTATAGTTTTGGTAAGATAAAACGAACTTAAACATCAAAAGACAGGAAAACATAATTATGGACATGGACATAGAAACTGCGTGACAAAGACTTTTCCAACTCAACTTTATCATCTTGTATTATTACCAAAAAAATGTTTTTTCTATTACACAACTAAAGGCTTTTTTAATTTATGTTAATTTATGTTGTCGTAATGTTGTGGTTTCTGTCAAGTTTTCTGTGTAAGTGGTGATGATTCAATCCGGTATGTACGTTTGATGTTTGTTATAGCTTTTCTATTACAATAACTAGATTTGCATCAATGACCTTAATCAATGTAAATATTTGTTTATTATGGTATTTAATTCTCAATTGCATTAAGTGGAATTGGAATTAAGGACTACAGAATAACGATGTATGGTTCCATCAAACCAATTAATGATAAGTAAAATAAAATATAATTCACTTTTAAACAAATTTCTCATTAGCAATAATTTTATGCTAGTAATTTCTTAAAGTAATCCCATGTTTATTACAAAGAATATAAGCAACCATAGACCATAATTTTATACATAGGCCTACAGAGGTGTAACCTTAAGCAAATTTCCGTTGGCGCAAATACATATTTCTGGATGACAAATTTTATTTAACTAAGTTGTAGATTATATTAATTAATTTTATTATACTTATTTTACTTGATATACTTCTTAATTTTATAAAACTTTAGGAAGTCTCTAGCGTTAACCCTCCGGAATACGATTTCAAGGAGTTTGTCTTAAAATGCGAAAATCTGCAAAGAATAAAAATGCTACTAGAATCAAAAATAAGAACTGAACTAAAAAAGTGGAGTCTGAAATCATCGAGTCAAGATATTTCCTCTCACGAGCATAATAAAAACTTGTACCAATTTATAAAATATTTTAAAAATGTACAAGAGGAACAAAATAATTTGATTCAAAAAGAAAAACTTAGATTTGAAATGATAAAAGCAGAGTTTGATGAAACAGTTATTTATAAAATGAGAAACAGACTAAAATATTTCATTGAATTGAACAAAGATCACGAAGAAATTATATATCGATTAAAAGAGGCTACAGAGAGCTATAAAGTTGAATACACCCATCGCACAGGTGCAAGTTCAGACGGAAGAAAAAAAAGGTTAGTCCCACACTGTTCGTTTTCATATATTTTTAAACTGATATTTTTATTACAAAATGTTGTTAGTTTTTGAACATTTTGTAGTAAAATGTTCAATCAATATTCTAAAATAAGAGTTAGGCAGGAATGGGTGTAAATTGCGTAAAAGGAGTGTAGTTAATGGAAAAAGTCCTTGTTTCTTTTGTAATTTTTGATTCCAAGTTATTTGTTATTTGATTACAAGTTATATTATTTATATATTTTACAATATTATTCATTGTTATTTTATTTTGTGGCTTTGTTTTTAGATTAAGAGTGATCACGGGAGATAATTGTTAACTGAAGTTCAGTATTTGCTGATTCCACTTCTATCAGTTTAGTTTTCAATAAATCAGTATTTATTGATACAAGTGATTGATCCTGTATTCCTTAGTTGTTGATTGAGTATACATCAAGCCACACTAAAGAACAAGTCAAAGAACTTAAAAAAAATCAAAGAACCAAAAGTATTGAAATGTAAAGTTTATATTAAAAAATGCTTGTAAAGTTTAATTGCTAATTATGATAATTAATTTAATTATGATAATTATAATTTGTAATTGTTTTATTACTAATTATTATTAATTATTTTATTTTTAAGTATGAAAAGTTGAAGTCAAAATTTCTCTGAAACAGAAAAAATTACACTTGACTAATTAACATAAATGAAAATTATAATTCAAAATTATTATAACATGCGGTGTTCAATAAGGAAAATATTTTCTAATGTAGTTCATAGTTAAGTTGGAAACCAATTAACCTAACTATAAATAAACTAAAAACAAAAACTGTTCAAAAAAAAATTAAAGATTTAGTGGTTGCAGGTAAGCCTTTATAATAATTTAGGCTTATATATGCATTTTTGTTTATGGAATAATTATATTTTTGCATACAATATAGAAACACAAAAATAAAAAACTGACGTTTTCAAAACAATCGGCATCGGCCGATGGTAACCAAGACTGATGCCGATGCATCGGTGCTCCACTTATATATATATATATATATATATATATATATATATATGCATATATATATATATATATATATATATATATATGCATATATATATATATATATATATATATATATATATATATAGATATATATATATATATATATATAGATATATATACATAGTATATATATATATATATATATATATATATATATATATATATATATATATATATATATATATATATATATATATATATATATATATATATATATATATATATATATATATATATATATATATATATATATATAGATATATATATATACATAGTATATATATATATATATATATATATATATATATATATATATATATATATATATATATATATATATATATATATAATATAAAGCTTTATTTCTTATTTCTGATAAAAATATTTATTAATAACTCCAATTACTTTTTTAATAATTTTTTCTATGTGACCCCTTAAGCTAAATGGCAGGTCTTTTTAATGTTGTCAACTGAAATTCTATGGATTTCTAAGAAAATGTACGCCCGGTGCTTCGGCAACTTGATTGGGTGAGGTTCCAACACTAAGAAGTTCAATAATTTGTTCGTTTCTTGAATTCTTGAAAAAAAAAAATTCTTTTAAAGATGCCGAATCGGTATTTTATCTATCTTTAGAAATCAAAAAATCTTGAATATATTATCCCGGATCTAACCAAACCTATCCTAATTTAACACTCGCACTTTTTTCGGTTCACACGGTATATAACAACCGCACGAACAGTTTTGCTGGTAGACGCCTAAGTTTGTGTTTGAAGGTAGTTTCGTTTTTTTTGTCGCAAAATATATTTTTTAAATTACAATCTGGCGTGAGTATAACCTTTACGTTTTGGTTTCTAAGTTTTTTTTAAGTTTGGAAATGACATTTTAAGTTCATGGTAGTTTTATAGATGGTTGATTATTTGATAGTAGAGATTTTTTTTTTTTGTAAGTATATATTTAGGTGCTCCCAGAAGTCCTTAGTCTTATCATAGAGAACCGCGGGAGAGCATTTAAGAGGAAGTTCACGCCTCCTTCCGTACCAATGTCGCTTGTTGGGCTAGAGCTGGCGTTGAACCTCGGACCTCTGGGTTCTGAGCCAGAACTCAAACCACTGCGCTAAGGCTGCTCGATTTGGTATTTTTTGACTCATTTTTTCAGTTTTACTATGATTATTTTTGCTACCTGCTACAGTCCTTGAAATCACCATTCTAGTTAATGTATTGCTGCATCTACTAACTTTAAAAAAATTTCAATCTGGAAAGCTCAATTTGGATCTTTTAATCTGCTTTATTTAGTTTTTTATAGAACCTTTTTATTTTTCTAAGTTTGAATTCTTTGAACAGAGCGTTGACTTTTGGCTGTCATCAAAACACTCTCCCAAGAGTTTCTGAAAAATTTCACGTCATTTTGAGCTACTGAGTGGAGACAAGCTGATGCAGAAAGTTTTTGTAATAAGAAATTTATAAAAATCAAAAATTTCTCCCATATAATGCAGGGCCGACAACACGGGTTTTGAAGTAGGAGGGGAGGCACATATAATGATGCAAAAAATAAATCAGATGAATATATTACTGGATTCAAAATAAATCAAATGAACATATTACTGGATTCACTTAGTTTTTGCGATTAGAATAGGGAAAGTATTATAAATTAAAGGCGCATCAATTATTAATGAATTAGAGGCGCACCAGCCTCTAATTTATTAATAACTGATTAGTGGCTTAACCCAAAATTCGAAATGAGGTTAGTTATTGCTCCTTTCATTTCCAAAAGCAAGCCACATTCAATTTCAAGGTGCACTTATATTAATTTTAGTTTCATATATAATATTCCGACTTGAAACAAAAACACGCTCTCCAAAATAAAGGATATCTGGGCTTTAGTCACTGTCTTGAGGCAATGTTTCCTATAAGAAAAGCAGATGAAATTTTTTCAAAAATGTCCAACCGTTTTAGAGATGTATGAATTAAATTATGGATGTGGAATACTAAATTTAGTGTATTTCTAACTATAAGATAGTTGTCACCTATTTCCTGAAGATTAAGAATGCGGTTTAAGAATGGAATATATACGGCTTTTTGGTTTCCTTGCAGTATTCAAGTAGCAATGGTAGATATTTTATCTCGCAGATCAGGAGCTCCGCCATTAGTTTGTCCCCAAAGACTACTCAATGGAAAATTGCATCTAATTAAATTATATTTTATAATTTTAGTTTTGGTCTCTGCATCAGCCTTTTTACATTCATGCATATTTCAAGCATCATTGTTTTTACATTCTATGAAATCTTTATGTACTTTATATTAATCTAACACCCATCTAACTGTTAAAACTAGCTCCTTAGTCTAGAAACGTTTCTGGTTTCATCAACTAAAATAGCATATATTGGAGCTATTTGAATGAAGTCAATTCAACAACTGTCAGATTTATGATGTAACATTTCTCTGAGGAGCTTATTGATTGGGTCATGTGAAAGTTACTTTCCATCAAGATTCTATTTGCTGAGTACAATATTTTTGAAAATGTTTAATAAAAATTCAAAAAGTTTTTGTAAATTACCTTCTAATTTAGAATATTCTCCTCTAGCTAATCTCTGCCCTACTATATATCTTAGAGAGTCCCTTTCTGTATTTTAACATATTTTGTTTACCACACTTTAATGTGACAAGCTTTTAATGCACCTCATAACGGTAAATAAAACAAAAGATTTTCTTACTTTAGAACAGATAAATTGTTGTCTTTGGGTACACCAGTTTTGATAAAATACCTTATGCGACTTCCTTGCAGACGTGCAGTATCTTTTTGCTTATCTACATCCTATGAAAATATGCACTCCGTTACTTACTAGAAGAATACTGTCATGTTCACATTAATATTTATATGATTGCTAATTGTTATTAGTAAATATATAAATAGCAGTTATTTTTACTATTGTTTATTGGGCTTTCAAATTTCAAAATAGTTGCATAAAATCCTTATTTCCATAAGTTTATATATGTTACGACGAATTTAAGATATTAGAAATTCAATTTTGTTTGGTAAAATACAAATGATAATATACAGAACAAAAAAGTTCAAGTAAGCATACAAATTACAGTAGTGAAACTCAGGCAAAACATTTATTTCAAAATGAGAATTAATAAAGATTTTTAAACTTAGTTTATTACTTTAAAGCATTTAAAGCACTGCATTTAAATATAGCAAATAAGCATAGCATTTAAACATAGTCTCTTTTATCATCATATAAAAATTTACTGAATCGTTTTATAGACTATATATTTGTATACTATATATCTAGACGATATATCTATAATTGTTAAATAGACTATATATCTATACATCCCTAAGTCTTATTTACCTAATAAGTATCATTGTAAACGAATCATTGAAACCTGGAAGTTCCCATGACCTATTTATGGTTGTTAAAATATTACCTACCTTTAATGGCTTAAAAAAAACATAACTTAAAAATTAAAATAATAAAAAAGTTAAAATAATACCTACCTTTAATGGCTCTTGACAGAGTTGTTTTATTTACAGACCTATGTCATTTGGGTCAATTGTTAGCAAATTACAAGAAAGATTTGTGGTGTTAGCAAACTACATGAAAGCATTTTATTCATGTAGAAATCCATAAGCTTAACTTATCACCTATTATAAGTGTTTCTACAACATATGTTAATCACTCTAGAATTATTATTTTGCTGATAATATCAACCTAATAATAGTTAAAAAAATCCCTAAAGTAAACTAAATAACTTATCTTAACTATGAATAATCATATTTTGTTAAGTGGCTAAGTGCAAACAAAAAAACTGAAAAAAAACTTAATTTTAGAATAAATGAGAAAAAACTGTAGAGTGTTGTAAAAATAAAATACCTTGGCATAATAGTAGATGAAAACCTCTTGTTTAGTTATCAATTAAAATCGGTTTCCATTAAAAAAAAAAAGTCAAGCAAAAAAAGTGCTAGCAAAGCAAAGGCACAACTAAATTATGAAGCTTTAATAAATATATGGTATGCCATCTTTGGGTCACATCTTCACAAAGAATGTAAGATATGGGGAAAAAATTATTCTATGAATAAAAAAAAAATTTTAAATCTTTGAAACAGTTTACTTTCAACCAAAAACTTTTAAATAAAACTACTTTAAAAACTCTGATATCCTTAAGTAATCTACTTTTTGAGTTGTGTCTTTGCATGGGATGTTATACACAGAAGTGTACCAATCAGTTTCAAGAAGTATTTTAAACTTACAAGTAAAATCCACAATCGCAATCTTAGATCAGTGACTTGTGATAATTTAACAATGCCATCAAAGCAGGCAAATATTATTTGAGGCAGCCAAACATAACTCTTGAAATTGAAACTAAAAAAAATTATAGAAGGAAAGTTAATAAAAATAAAATCAAGGGTAAAAAAGTTTATTATAAAAATACCAAATGAAACTACAAAATAAGTATATGAAAACTAAAATATTGAATAATATTATAGATTAACGAAAATTCTTTTCAAATATAAAATTTATACCTAAGCGCACCTTTTATTTTATATAACTATTTTTTACTTATTTTAGGTGCCCCAAGAAGTCCTTAAAGTCTTATCTCGCCGACAACCATTTGAAAGGAAGATCACGCCTACCTTACCGATGTTATAAAACTTGCCCAGAGGTGGCTTAATTGGAGAGTTATCATGTAGTTTTTAAGCATTTTAATGTTAATTACTGCTTTATAAAACAAACAAATATAAAATTACAAATCTAAATAAGAATTCTACATGCACAAAAAGCTACCATATATATTTATTGAAAAATGTTATGTAGTATTCAGCTTAATTAAAACGTAATATTCAAATCTTATATTTTGTTAGACAAAACCAATTTAACTGGAGGTTCTTATTTTTCTACACTTGTCAAAAAGAGCTTGAAGACACTTGGTTTAAAGTTCTGCAAACTGATATGTTCTGGGAACTTTCAGTCTCAATGGTTCCTGATTCTAAACCTTTTTCTCTGAGTTTAACGCTTTTTTGTGCAAGCTGATACATAGCTTCCGATAATCATATGCATTGTTCATTTGGTCAGTCAACAAATGGTCTGCCCATCTGTAAGAGATGAATCTACAAATGTCGATTAGTGAGTCCCTTCTTTCCGCGAATAGCTGTTATAATATTATTTGCTTTTTCGTCTGGAAGATCTTGAGCTTGTATCTTAACATCTCTTTGTTTTTCAACAACCAAGTGAAGTTTGGTTACAGTTTTTGTTTTGATGTAGTTCTTGCTGGTAATTGTAGACTGTTCTTCTGAATCTTTAAACTCTTGACATTCTGCCTCAGACTCAGATTCAGAAGTTGACGTTGTTGCTGTTACCTTTAGTGTTGTTGAAGTAGGCTTCAAAGATATTATTCTCCTTTTGGATGGATAGATATTTTTTGAACTAGCAGCCTTACCAGTTGTAAACTTGACTTGTCCTTTGCTTTCAATCTGACAATACAATTTTTGGTCCTCACTGCAAAGCCTTTCACCATCTTTTTTTGTGAATATCAAAAACTTCATCTAATGGATTGTATTTTCTTTTTTTATACATTTATCTATCCAGTTTTGCTAGCACAACTTGAATTGATAAACGTAGAAAATTTAATTTCTTTTGCCATAAACTTTTTACTTTTTTCCTAATATACTTTATACGTGCTCGTTTCCTTTTGAAAGTTACCAAAAATTTGGAACAGAAAGTTACCAACAACTTGGATTTTGAGTGGTATCCTACTGTTATCTTCCATTAATTGTTTTTCTAGTGGAGTATTTCTTCTTTTTCTTTGTGTGTGCATGTGTATGTGTGTGTATGTGCGTGTGTGTGTGTGTATAAAATATATATGTATATATGTATATATATATATATATATATATATATATATATATATATATATATATATATATATATATATATATATATATATATATTTGTATCAAATATGATAATATGACTATTATACACGGTTTACAAATTTTATACTGCAGACTATATTTAATTCATGTAGAAATCCAGCTCATCTGATGTACATGAATCCGTCAAGTATTTTGTCTATGCTTGACAGAAGTAATATAAGCCTTTAAATAAAGCAATTTGTAAGATAGGTATGACTTTATTAACTTTAAATAGGTAAGGGTAAATTTGAATATTTCAATTATTATAATACTTTGCCAGGGTTAGTTATAACTAAGTTTCTGGATGCGAAAATAAGTGTTTTAGAAGTTTGGTCTAATTACTTTTCGTGAATACATTACAGGTATATAATCTCTTAAACGATTATAGATATATAGTCTAGATATATAATATACATATATATAGTTTTCGAAAGGATTTAAAAGCAAGCTTTTTACATACTGATAGAAAAGACTTCAAATTTATTACACTAACTTTAAAGTCGCCAGTATCTTGAATTTGAAGAACTAAATCGTTATTATTGCTCATTTTAAATTAGACTAGCTCAGGTCGGACCAGCAAAAATACGGTTCTTTGCAAGTCTATTCCAAAGCAAACTTTTCAACACTTTTTCCTTATATCTCCTAGCTTTCCGGATCCATAAAATACGGGTTTTTACCAATCCTAAAATACGGGTTTTTACCAATTTCTATAAATATCTATTCTATACCGATTATTTATATACCTATTCCTTATTTACTTCAATATTTTTTAGTAAAACAATTTATTCTGAAAAAAACATTCAAAAACAAAAAACTTAACACTTTCACCTTTTCCGCATACGCAGAGCTTATAAGAGACTTATAATTAGGTTTCTTTTTCTGCTTAATGCATTTCATTGATAGCTTAGTGGTTAAGTGTGCTGTCATCAGTTTATTATTATTATTATTATTTTTTATTATTTTATTTTTATTATTATCGTTTTCTTATAAAACAAAGTGCTGCGACTCTTTCTACTACTACTACTACTACTACTACTACTACTACTACTACTACTACTACTACTACTACTACTACTACTACTACTACTACTACTACTACTACTACTACTACTACTACTACTACTACTACTACTACTACTACTACTACTACTACTACTACTACTACTACTACTACTACTACTACTACTAAAAGGATTAAGTTCGGCAATAACATACGAATAAAAATTCTATTGCTGGATTTTATTCAGATGAAGTAAAAAAATGCACCAAAAAATGTAAAATAGAAGCGCAAAGCAAATTTGAAAAAATTGTTCTTGTTTGAATTACAACATCCCCTCGTGGAACCTCAAAACCATTTATTGTTCCTGCGAGGCTGGCAATTAACCAAACAGTGTAAAAAGATAATTGCATCATCAAACGATTAATTCCTTTTATCAAAAAACATTAGTGTCCCTCGGCAACCCCTTTAATATAATTTTTAGAGACATGGAAAAATCATAAATCGTTGCAATCACACTTTTTAGAAATCAAAAATTTTAGGATCAAATTTATCTTTTATTTGCCGCTTTAACACAGCGATGGAAAATCTTTAAAACTCATAAACAAAATTAGACAGTAAAGCTTATTTCCGATTCACGCTAGGAATACAAAATAGTGTATATATATATATATATATATAATATATATATATATATATATATATATATTTATATATATAATGAGCACACTACAATATGCTGTTCGTTATCAGCAGCAGGGTACTTTCCATTTTTGGTGACATAAGTCTTGTAGGACTTATTGTTTCAAAATAATAACATCAGTAAATTGATGCAATCAAAAAACGAGCGATTTGACTTGTATAAAACGTGCAACCAAGTTTATGAAAGAGTACAAATGAATTTGTATTTACTCAAATTTCAGCCAGAGAATTAGCTCAAGTACAGATATGAAACCAGATAAAATCTAATCTCTAGCTGCCATAAGCTTGAGAAGAGAAATAAAGTGCGCAAACAGTTCGATAACGAAAATATAGATGAACCATTAACAGGTTCAAAAGAAAAATATCGAGTTAAATTTTTAAACGTTTTATTAAATCAAGCAGTTTTGTTTTTAACTACACGTTTTGAGCAAATGGAACGTTACTAAGGTCTCTTTGAAATTCTGCACAACTTCTAAAACGTTTCAAAGTTACACCAAACTGATTGGATGAAATGTTGTAAGGATTTAAATATTGCGCTCACAGATACATCTACATCTGGCTCAGTTTTTATTCCGAAGGGTTTATGTAATGAAATGTAAACATTTTGTTCCAGATGTTACTTCATCTTTTCTTGATGCTTTACGTTTTATTTATGATCATGGTTTAAATACTGCTGTTCAAAATGTTGCTATACCCCTTTGTAAAGCTTTGACGATTCCGATCACTGTTGCATAGGGTGAAAAACATTTTTCCAATTTAAAATTGATCAAAACCTATTTGAGAACAAATATGACGAAAGACCGTCTAATCAGTCTAACAATGATGGCTATTTATCGAACGAGATACAATCTTTACATTATTCACAATTAAATCAAAACTTTACTGGCATTAAAGCACAAAAAGTTAATTTTTGTTGAACATTTACGAAATCTTAATGAATGTGAAATTAGCCTGTGTTAAAAACTTTATTTCCGCAAAATCTAACGAAAGCATAAAATGTGCACGAAGGCTATTAGGGCAATGTATTTTAGAAAAATACTGGATATCAACGATAAGGTTGTACAATAATTTGCACTACTAATTGCTAACTTTAAAAATTGGCGTAACTTTGGCAGTTTTTGAATGGTCTGGAATAATTCTCTGCCTTATTGAACAATCAAAAACTTTAAACTTTTAGAAATTATAAACTTTAATGACAATGTTGCTATTTTTACTATTGTGAACAACAGTGGCTTATCTTATTTTAAAATAATAAAAACTAAAAACTACCGGATCATTATTGGATAAGCTTTTGTACCGATGAAAGCAATCGTTACAAAAGCTTATCCAATAATCGCGGAAACTCGCCGAAGATCGATCAGAACATGTCATCGAGAACCGCTCGCAAATAAAAAGTTATTTAAAATTAAAAATATTCAAATAATATTAATGTTTAAAAAATATAAATATCAAGAAACAAAATGATTTTTTTAAACTTTTGCTTGAATGAGACGAAACTCCGTTCCGAAGAGATGTTTTGAAATATACTTATAATAAGTATAAACATATAAATGTTTGGAGCTAACTTCATGTCTGGAAGTTAGATATCTCGAAGACCAAAAAATGCTGGATCCGCCCATGGTGAGAATTTGTGTGTTGCAAAATTGATTTAAGAGCCTTGTTATTTTTTGAAGGTTATCAGAATAAGATGCACTTTTATGTATTTTTTTAGTATTTAGATCAGTGAAAAAGCAATTTAGTCTATAATTATTCAGATTGCTATATTTCAGAAAAAGTTTCAAATTTGCAAGGATAAAATGATAAAAAAAAAAAAAAAATGTGTGTAAAAATAACATGCTAGTTTTATAAGATTATGAAGAGGTCGTTAAAGACAAAATTGGATTTTGTTTATGAGTACGTTATTAATCATAATAGACAACTGTCAATTAAATTTGAGCAGACGTGACGCTGTGGTTAAAGTTCTGCCTCAGAACATCCAGAGGTCCGAGGTTCCTCGCCAGCTCTAACCCCATAAGCGACATTGGTAAGGAAAGAGGCGTGAACTTCCTAGTTATATGCTCTTTCTCAATAACAAAAAAAATTATGTTACGCAAATCCGTGAGGGCAACCACGACCATGGAAAATTACAATAAAACGAATGAATCATTTGACCATTTAATATCCTGCATATTGGATAAATAAGTACGCTTGTTCGAATTCAAGCTTAATAAAACGTGGCATGAAATGTTTTGAATGTTTGCAATTAAAAACAATCTTTGCCACATTGATTATAAATATCCTAAAAATTGGGTTTTCTATCTTACTTGGCGGCATAAAATTCATACGCAAAGTAAGGTAACTATAATTTCGCTCGATCTCCGATCAAATCCGTTTTTGAGTTAATTCATCAATTAATACTGAATTTTTTTATTTTTTTAGAAAAAAGAAAATTTTAATCATAATCTAAATGGCACGGAACTCTTTTCCGCTCAGTAACTTTTATTTAAACCCTAGTATTGATGATTTGAACTTGGATGGTTTAACTGATGAAGAAAGACTAAGGATTCTCAATGTTGTAGAAAAAGAACAGGTTTTTTATATTTATCTAATTCGTGTTTTAAAAATCTTTAACAGATTTTTATTTTTAATAATCGCGTATAGAATTTTATTTAAATCTCAATAAAAACGTTAAAATTAAAAAAATGTTTAAGTAAGTATTTCGCGTTAGGATGGAATATAAATCTATATATAATAAATAGTCTGTAACACTTTATGTATCAATGGGATTTTTGGCAAACAATAATAACAGATTTTTCTAACCTACTATTTGTTTTAAGTATTTATTTAAGTAGCCTACTTTCCAATCACGTTTTAGTTTACAGAAAAGATTATATAATATTTTTTTTAGATCTTGATTTCTACTTTTGATTCCTACGTCTTTTTATAATTGTTTCCTCATTTAAAAATATATTTAATATACTTATAAATATGAATGTTAATATATTTATTAATTAGCATTATTTAGTTGTAAAGAATGTTAATATATTTATTAATTAGCATTATTTTATGTAGTACTTAAAAAAAAAAACATTTCAATTTGTCTATGTGCAAACAAAAACATAATCAAATTATAATCGAGTGATTTATTTATCAATTTAATATGGAAAGCATAGAAAATATGGTGGATAATTTTTTAATTTAACACATGTTTTATTTATACATATGTACACACACTTTCTCATATGTTTAAAGTTATAATATACTTTTTTCAGAATATTGTTTACAAGAAAGGAAGTGTTGCAATGAAAGGGTAATTGAATTATAAAATATTTTTGTTAGATTTTTGTTTTGTTTTACATGATAAATTAATTAAATAAATAGATAAACAGTTAGATAAATTAGTATTATGATAAATTAGTGATAAAACCTTATTAATAAAGTCAACTTGATTAGAATATTTTTTCTTTCAAATTTTTTTTATAGCAAAGCCAAACATTTTTATATATTTTTAAAAGATTCTTTTTATTTCACTATTTTATTGTTTCTTAATAGCGCAACTGTCTTTAATATTAGCTTTAAGATTTTTATATAGTTGTATTTTTAAGAAATATACTAAATAGTCCTATTTTTAGTTAAAAAATTTTTCTATAAGTTTTCTATACATTTACTTATTGGGTTATTAAAAAAAAAAAAAAAGTGCTTAATAAAACTGCTCTTAAAAGTGTTGATGCAATTAAACTTGTCTGATGCTAGCTGATAGTGCATTTAAGTATATTATTTGTAAAAAAAAACAGGAAAAGATTTATCCATTTTTAAAATTTTAAAATAAGAAAGCACTTTTGTGAATTAAAAATAAATAATAAACTTTTTTTAAAAATTAAACAGTTTAAAAAAACCTTTGTTTGGAGTGAGTTAAATGATTTAAAAAAAAACTATTTTCAAGAAATTTTAATACTTGATCCTCGTTCCAAAAAGCTAAATATTTATTTCAAAATGTTAAGAGCCTAAGATAAAGATAGATAAGATTTTTGACAAAAAATTTTGGTTAAAAAGTACTTTGACAAAATAATTAGTACTACTATTATGTAATAGTTAAATTAAAGATTGAATCTTGAGGATATTATCTTTTTTTATCTTGTATTTGCGGCTTGTTGCTAAAAAAGTTTAGGAACCTGAATTACTTGTGTGCTGATTCTTCTACTACTATTATTATTATTATTATTATTATTATTATTATTATTATTGCTATTATTATTATTATTATTATTATTATCCTTGTTATAAAAATTTGACAGTTCTTATCTATAAAAAAGATAAACAAAACTAACATGCACAGCCATCAAATCTAACATGCAAAATTATCAAATATGCAAACAATGAAGCTGAAATTATGAAATGAAGAACAACAACAAAACCTCTAGTGATGTAAATGTTAAAATATCTATCTGTCATACTCATGTGTTTTTAATTTGTTTATCTTCATTAATTTCATCATTCTCTTTAAATTGTGTTCATTTCTCAAGTTTGCCCTAGAATTCAACATTTTGAATTTTCTTATGCATTTTACATTTCTTTGACCCTATACTACAAACAATGTTTTTTAATATCATGGTACTAATTATTCAATTTTTTTTTTATGACTCAAAATCATGTCAGGTCATGTTTATCCTGCTACTGGTAATATGTAACTTAGTACAATCTGCTTCATATCCTGTTGCCTTGTAAATACGTCTTTTTTAGGCAAAGGCTAGGAGATGCCAATTCCGACATAAAACACCCCCTGCCTTGGAGCTCTTGGTTGAATAAAGTCTAGAGATGGTGTCTCGATAAAAATACTCATCTTGGGCAGATGTTAAATGCATCCGGCTGTTGTCTTGTAGAAGGCCTCCTAGACAAAGACTTAAGGGGTAAACAGCTTCTATCTGTTGACCAGCCTCGCACACCTTCAACATCTTAAAATGGAAATCTATTAGGCTGACACAGATGTATTTTTAATAAATTGTTTCCATTTTAAGATGTTGAATGCTGGATCTTCTTGACTCGATGCATGGGTTTTGCTTGTGTCTCTTTTTTTTATGACTAGGTAACTCATTCTATTATCTCCTAATGAGGGTACAGCTTTAAAACTCAGTTTTATGGTTCTGAGGCCGGCTGGTAGTTAGGTTTCCCGAACTCTGTGGTAGCTCTCAGAGAGGCTGATTCCATCAACAGCTGTAAAATATCAAAGTACTAACAGTGCCATGTTGCGCATGGATGGTGTCCCTGTTTTTACTTTTAGTGTGCATTGCCAAGACCACATCAGAGCCCTTTGTTACGACTTATTAATAGTTTATTAATAGTAATGAGGCATTTGCTTGGGCTATTAAACAGTGTACTGAGTACTATCTATGTTTCAAGTCAAGTTTTTTAACTAATTTAGAAACAAATAAAGTAACAAAAACTATAAAACATAAAAAACCTTAGTCACTAATTTCGCTAAACCTATCATTCACTAATATTTGTGGTCTTCAAAGTAACTTTTCTTCTGTTGAGTCTTATCTCTTGCAAAGTTCACCAGACCTACTTGCTCTTTGTAAGATTAATTTGAGTTCAACTGTCTCGTCTTGCGATCTTAGTGTTGATGTCTATCTTCCTTTAATTTGTAAAGATTCCAATAGTCACATGCTTGACCTGGGCATTTACCCATGCTTGGCCTGGGAATTCACTCATTTGTCGGCAAACTAGGCTTGAATCCACAGACTACTCTTTTATGTGCTTTCGTTTAGCACCACTTCACTCTATCACCTTTTCCTTTGTTCTATATCGCTCTCCTTCATCTCAAGACTGCACTCTTCTTGATGTTATTTCTGATCATATTGACCAAGCCCTCTTTCTTTATCCATCAACCAATATTGTTGTTGTCTGTGACTTTAATGTTCATTACACTGAATGGCTTGGCTCTAGTGTCAGTGACTCTGCAGACATTAAAGCCCACAACTTTTGCCTTTCTCAATCCCTAACTCAATAGTCAACTTTCTAACTCGCTTTCCAAACAACCCAAATCATTTATCTTCTCTACTCGACTTGTGTCTTGTTTCTGATCCTAGTCAGTGCTCAGTTTCTCCACATTCACCCTTAGGTGCTTCCGATCAAGGTTTGGTCTCTCTAAAATTATTATCTCATTCTTTTTTATCATCAGAATCCCCCTATCATTGTACATCTTACAACTACCTTAAAGCTGACTGGGACTCTTTCTGTGATTTTCTTCATGATGGCCCTTAGGTAGAAATCTTTTGTCTTCCTTTTGATAAATGTGCTTCTTACATAACTTCGTGGATTTAGGCTGGAATGGAATCCTTTATTTCCTCTCGACCATTCCAAGTCAAGTCTCACTCTTCTCCATGGTTTTCCTCACATTGTGTTGCTGCAATTACCAATTGAAACTATTACTTCCATATTTATCAGCAAAACAATTCTCCAGAAAACAGACGTCTGTTTATTACTGCTAAGAATCATTGTAAAAAAGTTTTGTCTAACGTCAAAGCCCGCTATTCTCAGATCATGAAATCTCGTATTTTATCTCAAAAACTAGGCTCTCGTGACTTCTGGAGACTTCTGATAAAGTTTGGCATGCTGGTCTTCTCCATAAGCTTTCTTCTTGCGGTGTATCTGGAAACATCTTTAAGATTATTGAATCCTTCCTTTCCAATTGTAGTATAAAAGTTGTGGACAGCACTCTTTTTCTTATTCTTTACCTCAGGGTTTCCTCAAGATTCAATCCTTGGCCCTATGCTCTTTTTAATTTACATTAACAATCTTCCAAATAGTCTCACATCTAAGGTGGCATTGCTCGCTGATGATACTACCATTTATTTTTGTCATGATAAGAAGCCAACTCCCTCTGATTGCTTGCAGGGGGCATTTGAGCTGGAAAAGGATCTCACTTCTGTTACAGCATTGGGCTCACAGTGGTTGGTGAACTTTAATTCAGATAAAACTCAATTTTTTTCAGCCAATCATTTTTGCAATAATTTCTTACTTTGCATTCTATTCTATATCTCTATAAATCTCAAATCTGGCCTTGTATGGAATACTATGCCATATCTGGGGCGGATCTTCTATTGATGCCCTTTCTCTTTTAGACAAGGTGCAAAAACGCATTGTAAATATAGTTAGCCCGGCCCTTAAATGTATATATAGTTGGACCATTATTACATTGTCGTAATGTTGCTTCTCTTTCTCTTTTCTACAAATACTATAATGGGCACTGTTCTAAAGAACTAGCGTCTCTTATGCCATCTACTAAAATTCATTCTTGTGTAACTCGTCATCCAATTAAACCTCATCCTTTTTCTGTTACTGTTCCTAAGTGCTCCAAAAACTCTTATTCGTCTGGTTTTTTTCCTCGAACATCAGTTCTTTGGAATTTGCTTCCTCCCTCTTGCTTTCCTGATTCATATAATTTGCAATCTTTTAAGTTGTCTGTCAATCGTTATCTTACTCTACAATCTTCATTTTTTCTCTTCCAGTAACTTCCAACACTAATTAGTGGTTGCTTGCAGTCTTGTTAAAAGTGAAGATGTTTTAAAAAAAAATCATGTTGATTTTTTTTCAGTTTAACTGCACTATGTATAAGCTTTTGGTTCTGGTGTAATGTGCAGATTTCTGTTTGAAGGTTGTTTTTTTTTATCCAGCATGATTAAATAAACAATTTTTGAAAGTTCTGATTTAGATTAGAGTGTTTTAATTTAAGATCAGCAGTTGCCTAAGATTTCGCATAAATCACTCTATTAATACATGTTCTTTTTTGGATAAAATTATGAAGTCCTTTTTACTAAGTTATTGTCAACTAGACGGATCAGTGCAGTAAAAGTTTTCTGCTTTACCTATAAAATATTGCTTAATTCATACAATATTTTTTCTTTTTTAGAAGTGCTAGTATCCTATTTTCAGCTTTAAGGTTTTTTACTGTAGTTATAGTTGACTGTAATAAATACTTCAACCTTTGATTTGAAGACTTATAGATTTGTGTTGATGTAAAATAAAAATCCTATATTCTTAAATCAGTTATTGATGCCTCAAAACTAGAAAACAATAGAAAAGGTTAAGCTGTATGAAATGCAGTTGATTTTTAATTTGCTTACATGTTGTTTGGCTCAGCCGGTTCAAATTTGTATTTAGTGTAAACTCAACAAAAATTTAATTTTTAGATTTTTAAAAGGTTTTTTATGCTGTAATTGAAATAAGTTATTCAAAAATATGCAGTTTCAAAATAGGTTTTGATGTTAAAATGAACATATGTTGAATGTTAAACTCAAAAGTTTAACTATATTGTTGTGGTCCTCTAAAATGTTATCTTGCTATGATCTTTCATCATTATATGTAGGACCATACTGCATAGTTATATGCAGGAAATTTAAATTTTTTTTATTTTTTTTATTTTGGAAATTATTTTTTCTTACTTTTGTAAGAAAAAATAATATCCTAAATTTAAATATCCTAAATATTTAAAATTATATTTCAAAAATATAATTTTGTTTTCTTTATTTAGTCAAAAAATGGAAGGCCAACTCAATAAATTTACAAATCTTGTCAAAGGTTGGCAATTCCGTTGGTTTGTTCTTGACCCAGAAAAAGGAACATTATCCTACTACCTTGTATGAATTTTCTTCTCTTTTATATTAGTTACTTTTTTAAATTTAATTTAATTTTATTTTGAAAACACTTCATTTTGTAGGATAAAGAAAAATCTCGTAGCCGTGGTATATTATCACTTGCTGTAAGTTTTTTTTTCTGTATTTTTAATTTTGTTTATAATCTTCAATTTTTTAAATAAAAAACAAAAAATATTTTGGTTATAAATTTTTTTTAAAACTCATCATTAGCACAGCGTTTTAAGTGTTCTTTTGGATCTAATTGTGATGCAATCTTTCTTTCTTTTCATCTTTTCTGATGTTTAAAATAAAAAACGTTTAATAAAACTCATTTATTCATGGTTTGTTTTAGGATTTGTGTATATTGTTGATCATTACTTTTGAGTGTAGTTCACCAATGCAGGTGAATGATGTATATCCTTTACAATCGTTATTTAAATCGTTTTCTATCATTGCTTATATCCTTGGCAATCATTTCTTACCTCATTTTTACAAAATTATAATGCTTGCTTATAATTACTATCAGCAATAATTACTTACATCATTACTTGCATTGATTAAATCATTTCTACAAAATTGTAATTGTTGCTTACATTATTATTTGCAATGATTAGTTACATCAATACCTGCAAAGATTACATCGTTTCTACAAATTGTTGAAGAACTCTTTGTTAGTAACAAATTATGTTTTTTGGAATAAACTTTCGTTAAATTTTCAAAAATTTGTTTTGATAATAAAGAATCATTTAATGTATATATTATAAAATGTTTGATTTGACAATGCAAAACCATTGTCCCCAAACAAAGCAGGGTGTCTTATAAATGACCCATTAAACTTTTTTTTTGTGAAACAATTTTTTAAGATTTATCATAATGATATACAGTAGCATTCAAAAGTTTAGAAACACCAAGTTTTTTTTAGTTTTTACTACATAACTTTTCACAAACTTTCATAAATAAGCTGAAGTTTTTACCAAATGTGCTCTATATTATTTCAATTTAAAATACAATCCATAAAAGTTGTAAACGGAACGGTTAATTAACATTTTTATTGTTTTTTTGAAAATCTTTTGTGCAAAAGTTTTGAATTTGATTAATATTTATCTCAAAAAAGCTGAAACTTCTGCTAAAATTCACAAAATAATAATTTTTTAACAACAAAATAGTTTTAATAAAACACTTAGTATTTGGTGGCATATCCATTTGTCTTTAAAACAGCATCCCAGTGACAAGGCATTAAACCTACTAATTTGATAAGAACATCCTGAGGAATATTATTCCAACATTCTATAATCAATGAAAATAAATGGTCTTTGTTAGTTGTTTTTCTCCCAACTAATTGCTGGTCGATGTACTCTCAAAGATGCTCAATAGTATTGAGATCTGGGCTCTGTGAAGCCCATTCAAGAACATTGAATTTTTGTAATTTGAAATATTCTATAACAGATCTGGCACAATGCTTTGGATTATTATCTTGTTGTAAGATCCATTTGTGAGTCATTTTATGCTTTACATGTGGTAGCATAACATTCTTTATGGTATCTAAATAAACTCCCTGGTCCATAATACCTTCTATGTGATGAATGGGAACCACATAAAAACAAAAAAACTAACAAAAACAAAACAAAAAATGAGTAGCCTCCTCAACTGTAGTGGCCCCTTTGGGCCTTGGGAAGGTGAATAATTAATAAAAAAAAATTTTTTGTCACAACTAAAACCTAAACCATAATATTTCCTAATCCATGTTTAACAGTAGGTAACTGATATTTTGGATTAAATCTGTGTCCTACTGGGGATCTAACATACCTAATTCTGTCACTATTGAATAGCATAAACTTTAGTTCATCAAAAACAAAGACTTTTGACCAGTCATTAACTGACCAACTAATATGATCTTTTGCAAATTTTATTTGGATTTTTAATTTCTTGCAGATATTAGTGGTTTCTTAACTGGATGATAGTCATACAGATTATTTGTTGTAATTAACAACATTTATGCATCAGTTTCATGGCTAAAGTTTGTGCCATGAAACTGATGCATAAACGAATTAAGTTAGACAGCAGACTTGCGAGGACATTAGACTTTTCAGTTGTAATTTTAAGTCTTCCAGAGTGAGGTTTGCTTTCAATAGTTTTGCACAGACAAAATCTTTTCATAATGTGAATTATTCCTGGTTTAGAAATAAGTTTAGATTGTAAAATTTAGAAATCTTCCTGTAAGTCGTTTTATTTCCCACAGCTTTTATACTTAATTCCGTTATTTCTTTTGAAACTTCCTTAGCTTCTCCAATGCTTTTAAAATATTATTAAGTAATTGAATTATAAAATTTTTATAAAAATACTTCACTGCATTTGAAATATCTCAAAGTAATTAAATTAATAAATTTCACAAATATTTTGAACTTAAATTTTGCTTTTATTTAGAAAAACATGGTTTAATTGCTGGGTATGACTTTTTCTAAATTTTTGCACAATGCTTTTTAAAAAAAAACAATTAAATGTTAGTTAACTTTTCAATTTACAACTTTTGTGGTTTGCATTTTAAATTGTAATAAAATAGTGCACCTTTGTAAAAATTCCAGCTTATTTAAGAAAGTTTGTGAAAAGTAAAAACTGCAGTAAAAACTGAAAAAAAGTTAGTGTTTCTAAACTTTGGCATGCTACTGTAGCTGCTATTTTTCAGCTGCCATTTTGTCAGTGTTTTCCTTTGAAGTTATTATTTACAAAAATAGATTTTTTAGTCTTTAGTAAGTCCTGATACAATTGAAGCAAATTTCTCTGAAAAAGTAAAAATTTTTCTTATTTCTTTTTTCTTTGGAATTTTTCTGGTGGGAACAAATTTTTTCATTAAAATTATGAAAAAAGAAATAATCATTACATAATGATCAGAATGTACCAGTGATAATTGTAGTATTAGTAAATTTGACCATAAAAAGTTTAAAAAAAATAACTTTGAAAAATAACAATATTTTTCTAGTTATTATATATAGTTTTCAATAATTGCCACTGTGATACAAAGGGTAATAAGACTTAAAATGTCTAAAGATTTAGTGTAGTGGTCTTAAATTGATAAAATGTTCTGCTTTAATGCATCAAGGTTTAGGCTGTTTTTTTTTTAATATAGTATTTAAAAAAAAATCATTTAACCTATAATATTTAAAATACTACTGACTGCAGGAATATTTTTATCAAGATAGTTTTTATTTAATTTAAAATAAAAGGCATTTTTTTATTAGTAAAGTTATTATAATCCCTAAAGGTTTTTATAATTCAAATTTATTTTAGGGTGCAGTAGTCTCACCAAGTGATGAAGACTCCATGACTTTTACAATAAATGGAGTTAATGGAGATATCTTCAAATTAAGAGGTAAAGTATAAAAATTGAATATATAATATATATATATATATATATATATATATATATATATATATATATATATATATATATATATATATATATATATATATATATATATATATATATATATATATATATATATATATACACACACATACACACACATATATACACACATATATATATATATATGTTATATATAATACACACATATATTTATATATATTATCTTTGAATATATCGTTATTTACACACACACACACACACACACACACACACACACACACACACACACACACACACACACACACATATAGATATATATCAAGTAAGCATTTATATATATATATATATATATATATATATATATATATATATATATATATATATATATATATATATATATATATATCAGGCCTTGTGATGAATAAAAACTGCGCGACGTAAAGCACGACGTAATTTTTGACGTCATTAAATTCTTTTTATTTGCTTTTCATATTTATCGACATTAACTGCACCAATTTACTTAATTACTCCAAAACTACTTTAAGTTATTAATGTAGAAATGTTATTATTTAAAAATGTTTTAAAATGTTTTGTTTTTTAAAATATAAAAATATTTGTTTATTTTCTCGACGTTTGACACGTTTTGTCTATACTAAACGAATAAAAAACATAACTAAACATTTAAAAAAGATTATAAAATATGCTAATATTTGATTTTTTTTTTATCAAATATGTAATTTAAAGTTCAAATAATTATTTTTTCTTTTTAATAAGTCAACGAGTAATAAACTGGAAATTTTAATATTGTACGATTAAAAAATGTGCAATAGCTAATATTTTTACTAGCAATTTTATATAATATTTTTTTTATTTATTTATTTTTATTTATTTTCATAAAGCGGTTGATAAGCACAATCACTCGTATTGCTAAAAAACTTAAACAAACGTTTTGAATAGATTTTTAATGTTTACAAGGAATTTTATTTTTGGTAAAATAAAATAAAAGAAAATGTTAGAATAAAAATCTTATAGGTATAAAAGACATATTTCAGCGAAAAAATTATTCTTAAAAATTATTATTAAAAATTATTTGAAAAACTATCGACGTTCCATTTTTCAGCAGCTGTTCTTGAGCACGCTTCGTTGAGTTTCGGTAACTTCTAACAAAAAAGCGATTGTTATTATTTAAGTAATTTTTTTTAATAAGTTTTTTTTTACAAAAATTTTGATAGCTGTACTTTTTTATTGAATCAAATAGAATACGTTTTAATATGAATCCTTTTATTTTTTTTTATTTGCGCTTACCAATATTTAAAATATTTCCTCGAAATTACTCTTAAATACTTTAAATACGTCTAACAGTTAATAAATATTTTTAAATCTATGGAATAATTTTAAAACCTAACAAACCCCCGTAAAATAATTGTTTAAGTTAAAAATCTAGAACTAAAAGAAAGTATTTTTGTTCAATTTTATCGACAACTTTGCTATTGCTGAATAATTTTATTAAAATGTTAGCTTAAAAAGATTTAAACTTTTTTTTTTTTATCTAAATTTTTTCTATTTGTAAATAATGAGCATAGTTAATTTTTCTTTAATTCAAACTTTTATATCAACAGCGTGCGGTTTTTAAAATACTTTTTTAAATGTTAAAATAATCGTAAATTACTTCATTAAAATTCCGCTCAAAAATATCTTTAAATATACTCTAACAAAAAATTTTTGCACAACGCAAATAGCCCTAGCTACACGCAAAATCGCTCTTGGACGACCTAAAATTCACATCGCCCGACGCTTTATCGCAAGGCCTTATATATATATATATATATATATATATATATATATATATATATATATATATATATATATATATATATGTATATATATATATATATATATATATATATATATATATATATATGTAAATTATGTAAGTGTATTAATTTTTTTAGTGCTACGATGTGTTATAAAACAACAATTTATAACAATGAATGTTATAAACATTGGTAACATAAAATATTTTAGACTGAAATGTTTTAAAAAAGTGTCTATAATATTTTTATTGTTTTTGATGTATAAGTTTTAGTAGATCAAACAATGATACACAGTTTTAATTAATTTTGTTGACACAAGTTGTTTATTGCATAAGCTATATCTTTATTTTTTACACATCTTTTGTTTCACTTCACGATAAAAATCACTGGTTGCCTTTTAATATATAAAAATATGATTAAAGTTCTTGTTTTATTATTTTCTGTTGTTAATCGAAATTATTTTTCTTCAAGGTGTTTTTTTTTTTTTCCATTTAATTTTTGTCATTAAATTTTTATTAAATCTTTTTAAAAATCCTCTAAAAATTTTGCCAACATTTGTGAAATTATTGCAATCATTACTATTAAGTTATTCGAGCAAATATTAAGTTTCAATTATTTTAATTTTTTAAACTACCGGGCCATATTATTTATTGTATCGTCATATATTTCATATCATATTAATGATTGTATCGTCATCATGTGCTAGAATTTCAGATTTTCTACTGCTACATTTGATTTCTATTTAAAATAAAAATCACTCAAACTTTAAAAATTTAAAAATTAGGAACATCTTTGTTCATTGTAAATCATTAAGGAGTAATAAATTACAAAAAAAAAAAATTCAAATAAAATTTTCTTATGTTTAAATAATAATTTTATTATTAATTAAACATACAAAAAATTTTTATATTATTATTATAATTAAAAAGTTTAATTAAATTTTATAAAAGGTTTTAAAAAAGTTAAATGTACAAAAGTATTAAACATTTCAAACAGCACAAAATTACTTTGATGTTATCAAACTTTTTTAACTCCATTTTTAATCAGCCTATGTAAGCTATTTTAGATTTACATTATTCCAAACTGTTAGTTAGAGCATTAGTCTTTTACCACTTTGTTGTGAGTTCTTGCTTAAAAAAAAAAAAAAAAAAGCGATAATTTAATTTTAAAATATGTCAAATGTAATACTTTAAAGCATTAAGTATTTTTTTATATACTTAGTTTAATGTTATGAAACAAAAACTTCAAACACTGAAAATTTCTTTTTCAATTAACTGATTAATAAAAAGCATCAGTTTTATGTGTTAGCCGGTCAAATTGACCGGCTACCTTTGATTTTTTATTTTGTGCCTTATCGTGAATTCATACCTAAAGACACATACAATACAGCTAAGTACTAATATTTTAATTTATTTATGTAATATTTCAGTCTGAATAGTTCAGACCGTCATCAGACGTAAAATTAAATACAATAAAAATCTCACAAAAAAACGTATGTAAAAAACCGTTATAGAAGACATTACAAAGATGAGCTGACGTAACGTAAACAACTATTTTGAAATTTCTATGATTTTTTTAAAAAGAGGTCGCCAGCTATTTGACGCAATTTTAACACCGTTGTTTTTGTTCAAAAGCGGTGGGAAGTGTCTTATTTCGTAATTTGTTTGGGCATAATTAATTTCAAGTGACTCTCTTATTTTCCTTTCATGGTAGTTAGACTTGAATGCGATCGTTTTTGGGTGCATCCAATTAAATATACTATGTATGTATAATATACATATATACTATGTATAAATATATTGTATGTGTTATAAATTAAATAAATAAATTATCAAGTACTACAAAAAATGTCATTAAAACAATACCTAAGAATGTAATTTCCTAATGTTCTTTTTCCGCTCTTACTCTAAAAAACTGCACTTTTATTTTTCAAAAAAAACAAAACAAAAAAACAAAGAATAATGAAAGTAAAGATTGCTTCCCCATGCAAAATCCTTATTCGATGTAGCAGTACTCTTTTGCGACAGCAAGCTATAAGATATTTGAAGCCCCCATAACTACCTCTTTTAGTCATCAGTGTGCATTTAATGCTGCATTTTCATAAGCTTATATGTTTTTATATATGTGTGTGTGTGTGTGTATATATGCATATATATATATATATATATATATATATATATATATATATATATATATATATATAAATATATATATATATATATATATATATATATATATATATATATATATATATATATATATATATATATATATATAAATATATATATATAAATATATATGTATATATATATATATATATATATATATATATATATATATGTGTGTGTTTAATATTTTTTTTAAAGGTACAGATGCAAAAGATCGCCAGCATTGGATAAATTTAATTCGTGCTGTTGCTGAGTTTCACACACAAAATGCCTCATCTTCAAATCCTGTTGTCAATAATAAATCTAAAAAATCACCTAATCTTAAACATTCTTCATCACTGTCACTCTCTAAATCTCCACTAAATCTTTCTAAATCTATTAACACTCAAATTTCTCCTAAAATGTCAAATACACCAGACAATCCTATTAAAGATGAGTTGAAAAATATTAATGATGCCATCACTAGTGTTATTGAATTTCATTCACATGCTATGGAGGCACTTCAGGTCTTAATTTCTCTTACAGTTAAATATTACAGATAGTTATTGATGTTATTGTATTATATGATATTAATAATATTCAAAGACTTAATGCTTTATTATTTTTCTTGCTCTTTTTTTCTATTTTCATATTGGAAAATCATTTTTAATTTAGACTGCACCAAATCGAGACTATATAATTTCACCTTTAGATGAGGTAAGATATTGTTAAATGATACAAAAGAGATCATGGGAGTATTGGATGCAGGGTGAAAAATAGTAAATTAAATAAATAGAAAATTATGGGTAGAGAGTATATTATAAAATAAAATAAAGCAAGATATTATAGGAACTATAGATGGGCACAAAATTTTATATTGATTAAATTTTTAACTTATTTTTGCATTAAAAGAATAGGTTTTCATTTATATAAAATAATAATTTTAATATGTAAAGTTTTTTTTTTTACTTTTAGCAAGTTCTTCTTTTCAAAGCAACCTCACAAGTAAGCTTTATCATTGAACTCTATTATTCTAGTATTTAACATTTCTAGCATGTGAATTTATTTGGTTGATTTATTGGTTAATATTTGAATAATTATTTTTAATTTAAAAATAAAACATAAGTAAAAAATGATAATGTTAACTAGTAGTAAAATTAGTAATTTAAGTATCAATAAATTCATAATAGCTTAATAAGCTTAGGGATTTCCTTTGATGGCATAGTTCCCAACATGTACATATATGTATACACGTACATTCAAACATTTTTTAAATATGCAAGGTTTACTTTGTGAGGTGTCAGAAATAGAATAACACTATTATTAAAGGAAAACAGTACATTCAGAAAACACTTTTAAAAGATAGTTTACGTCTAAAACAAAAGACACACAACAAGTTATTGCAATAACATGATTATGACAAAAGATATTTTAATGTTTTATAGACTTGTTGATTTTTATTTTCAAAAGAAATCTGGTCTGACATTTAACATTAACATAATTAAAAATAAGTGTTGTTAAAGTTAAAGCATATTTTAATATTTGGGTTTTCCCTTTTTTTAATATGTTAAATATAAAAATTTTCTTTAAAAAAATAAAGAACTCTATTAAAAGAATTTTTTTTAAACTCTGAAAAGTTTTACTAATACTCTTAAAAAGTGAAAAATATACAAATAATAAAAATAAATAAAAACCAGATCAACATTTTTCATTTTGTTATAAGTGACATTTGAGAACTAAAACGCTTTATAATCTGAAATGTAGCAAAAAAACTTTATTATATTTGCAAATTATAAAATGGAAACCCAAGCTTGTGCGTAAATTAAATCTTTTAAGAAAACCTCTATGGTGAACATATTCATTAAAAAAATCTCTAGGGTGAATTTAATTCATTAATCAGATGTTTTTATAAAAATAAATTAGTCATAAGCCTAATATTTGACTTAAAAATTGCAAAGTTACAAAAAAGCTTACAAAAAAATTGTTAATATCTCAATAAATAATTTAGTTTAATTAATTCTAAACTTATTTTCTAAGGTTTATTTAAGATATGAACACAACTTGTCTCAGCACTTTGTTTTCCTTTTAAAAATGTACAAACATTGTGAGGTCTTGAACTATTTTAATTTGAATTTGAGTTGAAACTGAATGAAAGAGCAGTCAAACAACTTTTTTTTAGTTTTAAAGTTTACCAATGTTTAACAATAGAATTGAGTATATTTTTAAAAAAAATTGAAATAAAACATAAAATTTCAGATTAACTAATTAACTGAATATAAAACAACATCTTTATACTCAGCGCTTATTTTTTTCTTCCTAAGGAGAGCCACTAAAGTTAAAGAAGTCTTTAATTATTTATCAGTAACTTTTTCTCAATTGTTATTTTAACTCTTTTTCAATTCTTTTACTCTAAAACACAAAACTTAACTTTAAAACTAAAAAATGTTTAATAAATAACAATTTGATCATTTATATTTGCTCTTTTTTTATTTTCAGGCCACTGTTAATATTCTTCAGCAGTGTTATGGAATTCTTCAAAAACAAGTAAGCTTACAATAGCAAATTCTTTTATCATAGCTAAAATTAAAAAAAGACAATACAGCTATAGAATCAGTGGCGGAACTTCAAAATTTGGGCCCCCCTGCAAAAGAATGTTTTTTTTGCGGAAAAGAGTTTTATAGTATAAATATTATTGAGAGTATAACTTTTTTTATATGAGGGCCCCCTATAGCTGGTAGGCCCCCCCCCCCCCCGCAACGCAGGGTCCTGCGTCCAGTAGTTCCGCCACTGTATAGAATATAATAATAATAAAAAAAAAATTAATACAGCTGTAAAACAGATAAGTATTTTAACATTTTACCAAAATTTTACATACTTAAAAAAAATTTTTATTGCTTATAAAAAATACTAACAATTAAGTTTCTACATGTTTCAACATGTTGAAGTTGTTTTATATTAGCATAATCTTTTTATATTGACAAAACAACTTCGGATAGTTTTATTGTTTTATAGTTTTATTATTGTTTTTTTTTCTTTTATAGTTTTTAATAATAACAATTTAATAAGCTTTAAAATAAAACGTGCTTTATTGTCAGTATGAACAAGCATTAGACTAACAAAGAGTTTTAATTTTATGTTTTTTGTTATATCTTTTCATATATTAATTTATTCTTGTGTAAAATTATCTTCTAGTCATTAGATATTCATGGATCAGCTTGTACAAACCAACAGATGTCCACAGGTTAGTTAGAAGTCATTAAAATATTATTTTAACTTTTTATGCTTAAATTTTATATTGATTATTAGTATTTAAATTTTTTAATTGAAATTTTATATTAGTATTATTATTAGTAGTATTTAAGTCAAATTTCATATTAGTATTATTAGATTTATGCTTAAATTTTATTATTATAATTGTTTATTTTAAAATTATTAAACAGGGTTTATCTTTTTCCGGAATTCTGGATATTTCCTCATATTTCTGGAATTCCAGATAATTTTTTTAAGTATTAGTTTTTTCAGATATCCAAAACGTTTTACATACATAGAAGTTTAGGTGTATATTTTTGTAATATATTTCTTTTTTAGGCTTTATCACTTATCACTCATACAAAAATAAAAAAAAGTTTGAAATGAACATTAGAAGCAACTCAGCTAAAAGCAAAATTAAAAGGAAAATATATTCCGGATATTTTAGGGGTCGTCCATAAAGTACGTACGCTCATAGGGGGGAGGTCTTCAAAAAGTGTACGAAAGCGTATCGGAGGGGGGAGGTTTCAATTTAAAAGTATGTACATCGATTTTCTAATTATCACAATTAACCAGTTAATCAATAGAAAAGTTAAAATTCTGACTAGAGATCCTAGTTTTCCAACATAAAAAGATGTTTGGTATAGGGAGTAAAGGGTATTGTTTTCCTCAATGCGCACACATACATGGGGGCCCACAGGCTTTTTTGTTGTTCTAGATAGGACACTTTCACACATTGTGCAAACTTAAAATATAAGTATGTTTATACCTATGCCAAATATGGAGGCCTTGCAAAAAATTAAGAAGGTGGGGGCCTGGGCGCAAAAAATCCCTAAAACGTCCCCTTCCATTCCCCCCCCCCCCCCCAAAAAAAAAAAAAAAAGAGGGGGTGTAAATTTTGTATGGTACTTTTGTAATTTACAATATTTTTCTACGAAATTTAATACCTGTCGATAAATTTAAATTTAGTTTTAGATGGTAAATTTGAAATTTTACTACATTTGTGCCCTCACGCTTGGACAGTGGGGGCAAGCGTTTTAGGGCTTTTTTATTCCCAGGCCTTCGTCATTCAAATTTTTTGCAAGGCCTCCTCATTTGGCATAGTTATACTTGAGTTTTAGAGCTTTCACAAGTTTCACACATTCGGCATAGGCATACTTATGTTTGAAGCTTGTGCAAGTGTCCTATCTAGAACATCAAAAAATACTGCTGGCGCCCATGCACACATGCCACCCCTTATATACTGGCCCTGAGTTAGGCGTATTTCAGGCAACCTATTTTTTTGAGTCGACAAAAAACAGGTTTTACTAGTGCTGTGGCTAACAGGTCAGAGCCCCCCTTTCCAAAACACGTGTCATTTTGGTCTCAAAATATCCCAAATTTTACCGCTAGGTTTTGCTAAAATAAAATGCTCCTAAAATTTGCAAAAGAGCACACAACTTTCTGCACCCTTCCCCCCCCCCCCCCTCTCCAAATTAAGGGGTATGGGTAGCCTATCCTTGGCACTGGATTTTAGGCTTTGTTTTCGATATTACTGATCTCGCGTAGGACTCGTTTTTTACGGACTTACTAAATAGGAGTGTCTGAAGAAAACATCCACCTTAAGTATAGTTTATTTTTATTTGATTCGTCATTAAAACAAAAAAATAGTATAGTATGACACAAAAGGAATCGAACACCAATCTGTCGCTTCAGTCCACAGCATTAACTGCTTGACCAAGCGACACATTATTAACAAGTAATTTAACTTTATTAAATTGATATTTGCATATATATTGAAAGACTTTTTTATTGAAAAAAAAAGGTTTTTTTTTGGGGGGGAGGGGGGATTTCAAAAACGTATGTACTTTTTATAGAAGGGGGAGGGGAACTTAGAAGTACACATGGCAACACGGGGAAGGAGGGGATCAAATTTCAACTTTTTTGGCATATGTACTTTATGGACGACCCCTTCAACAATTTTCTGGATTTTTAAAATTTGGTCTGAATGATCTATGGTTAAACAAAAATGTGTTTAAAATATTTTTTTAGAAAGATTTAGCTATTTTAATTGATATTGTAACTAAATATTTGCAACTCGATATTAAATACTCAATATAATTCTTACTCCTGAATTTTCATCAAGTAAATGAAAAAATACTCCATTAATATTTTTGAAATATTGTTAGTAAAAATATTGTTATTTAAAATCATTTAAATGTCACTAAGTTTAAATTTATAACTACAGTTAATTCCTGATAACTTGAACCTCCAAGGGACCAAGGAAAATGGTTCGACTAAGGGCTTGTTGTTCATCACCCGCTTAAAGGCAAGTTGGTTCGATAAAAAAATCTACATCACTACCTTCATCTTTTTCAGCTTCAAAAATTTCTTCTTCTAAAACGCTTTACATTTTTAAAGTAATGTTTGACATTTTTAAAGCATCTGGGCGATTTAGCTTTCCCAATAACAAAGATTGGCAATTTTTTCCCCAAATTACGGATGCCAATCCTGTAAGACGTAGTTTACTGTGTTTCCCACCGACACATTTTTCATTTTTAAAATGTAAAGATTAATTGGTTGGAGCTGATAAAACAATCCAAATTCATCAGCATTATAAATCTGGTTCAACTATTTTGATAAAATTGTTGGTAACGTGGTTTCCTCCCGTGATGCTACCATTTCACTTGTACACGCATTAGCTTAACCAGAAATTGTTTTAAATGGTATGTTGTAACGTTTTTTCCAACAGTCTAACCAACCATTAGAAGCATGAAAATTTGTAACGTTCATTCTTTCAGCAAATTCCATGGCTTTAATTATAAGAATTAAAGCAGAGACAGTGACATCTCTGCTACAAGCAATCAGAAGCCATTTGAAAATGGCTTGATCCAAATTTGTAAATGACCCTTTCCTCATACGCTGACGTTTTAGGTTTGTTTTTTTTCTCCACAGCATCAAAAATCTTTTTCTTGTTTCTCAACCAGGTAGATAAGGTGTTCTTTGGTGTATAATATTTTAAAGTGACCTTTGACTTTGAGATGCCATCTAATATGTCCTTCAGTGCGTTGTATTTGACTTTAACAGTTTTTGTATTCGAAATTTCGCTTTTTTGCAATTGTCACCATGTTACAAACTTTGAGTTTAAAAAGCAAGTATTCACGCTGTACACTTAAAAGATAATATATTTTAAAATTTTAGCAAAAAAATTGCAATACAATGTCTTCCTTAAAGTATTTTATGTTTTATATGGAATGACTTTTTAAAAAAAAATTTTAATCAAGTTATTTTGATTTCATTATTTCCTATACAAAAAGTTCAAGTTATCCAAAGAAATTTGTCTAAAGGGAATAATAAAATGGTTCGACTTATCCGAGTTTGAGTTATCCGATGTTTGACTTAACTGGAGAATTTTAATAGTAATCAATTAGACAATTTCAAAAAACCAAATGAAACCGTTCGAGATAATAAAAATTCGAGTTAACCGGTGTCGGACTGACCAGGAATTAACTGTATTTTGAATGATAAAGGTTTTAAATTATTGTATTTTTTACCATTTTCAAATAAAAAGACTGATTAAATGTTTATGTTCATAGTGTCCATTTTCAAAAGAGTTTTTTCATCTTTCAGTAAATTGAATTATTCACTAGACACTAAATTTTTTTGATTTTTACTTTGGTTACAGAATAACAGTTGTGGAGGCTGAGTTCTGGTCAAGAACTCACACCATCATAGTCAAGCATTTCTGGGTTGAACAATTACATATAAGAATTTTGATTAAAAGGAGCTTTCCACAAGCTTAGGTTGTTTCTCAACATGATAAAAGTATTGCTCTGGGTTGAGTTTTTTAGTGTACCTCATTATGCTTTAAGAGTCTCAGACAGTTAAAGACAAGCCGTAGAATGGAGAAAATCTTCTACCTATTTTCTTATCTTTTTGTATAAACAAGAAAAACTTCAACAGAAAAAAACAAGTAACAGTTTAAAGTGTTGAGTAAAATGTTGTAAATCAATCAAAAGTTTTTTAATTAACTGAGATTCAAATAAGTATCCTTATTTAAACTACATTAAAAAATAAAGTCTAGTAAGCACAAGGCATCAAATATTAACATTTTTTATTACATTTAGGCCTCATAAAGACATTTTGTGCTTACTGGGTTTGTCGTCTATTTATTTATTTAAGTTTCTTTTCATTGGAGACAAATATAATTTTTGTTATAAAATTAACACATTTCAACTAAAAAAAGTTAAAAAATATATTATTTAGATTAAGTTATGTTATTAACAGTTAAGTTATATTATTTATTCAGTAAGTTCTGTATACAAAAAAAGAGTTTCCGATATGAATTTTTTTGTATAATATTTTAATGACATATATATGTTATTGATTACTTCCAGTAATAATATCTTTTTATATTTGATTTTCAGGCACAACAATTAAATGGATTGAACCACAGTATGTAATCTTTTATTGCTTTGTTAGTATGTTTTCAATGAATGCTTAAACAGATTTAAAATACTCAACATAGCTAAAGTACAGGTTTAACATAGCTAAAGTACAGGTTTAATTTTTTTTAGAAATACTCAGCTTGAAAGAAGTGTATCACTAACTAGCACTGATAGTTGTGAGTTCAATACTGATTCAACAGTTGTGTGTAATGGTAAATATTCTTTTACTACTTGTGTTTATTTATTCATGTTAAATAGATTTTAATTTATAGTTTTTCAAACATAATTGTAACAATTTTTTCTGCGTGAAGTTTATCTCAAAGTGTGTTTGAGTTTTGTTTGATTTTGGTTTAGTGTTTTCAATTAGAACGTTTCTCAGTATCTTTATCAATGGTATTATTATAATGAAGTTTTTTTCTTTTTTAATTTAAATTTTTTTGAAGTTCTATTTAAAAAGGTTATTTCTCAATTTAAAGTATTTAATGACATCAGAAATGATTTGAGTATTTTAGTATCCCTAAGCATGGGGATAAAGTTTGGGGGTTATTGGTTAGTGGATTTGATATCCCTGAGTACGAGATTCTGATTGTTAAATTTAACTATTAACAATGTTGTGAATCTGACTCCTTCAATCTGAATCCATCAATAGCAGTTTGTGTCAGCTTTCAGATTTGCACCTAGAAATTCTGAAATTCTTTGAAAAAATAAAAATAGGACCATGCCTTAAATCTTTTAAGGGTCCTGACATTTTATTTTATATGCTTTGTACACTAAATTTTTTTAATAACTTATTATAATATAGTTTATATTATGTTGTTTTTATATAATTTATATTATTTTTTATAAAAACTTTTTTATAACTCACGAATTATTCTGAATTCTAAAAAATAATTCAATTTTCAATGATTTTTTCTTTTGGATGTAGATGACCATGGTTAAATTTTAACCATTGAAAATACGCAGTGTGTTATAATTTTTATTTTCAATTATATAAAAAGCAGCAAATAGCAGTTAAAAAACATCTTTTTTAAAATTTGTTGTTTTGATTTACTTAGTTTACCTCTAAGAGAAAAATTACTTGCCAATATAACTGTCTACAATCAAAAAGGGGGGTGGAAGTATTTATCAGCATGTATTGGAGTGAGGGTATTTATCAGCATGTATTGGGGTGGGGTATTTGTATTGGAATATTGTATACTTTTATTGGTATTGTATATTTTTCTTGGTATTGTATATTATTATTAGGGTGTTTTATATTGTATATATATTTGTATTGGAGTATTTATCAGCATGTTTTAGGATGGAGGTGATAATCAGCATGTATCACATTTGTATTGCATAAGATTTAATAGAGAGACTCTGATATAAGGAGAGCTACTTTATTATCTGATGAAAAAGTGGTGGTTGATATATTGTTTGCTTATTGAAACTAAAATGAATTAAAGAAATATATATTGTATAAGTTAGTATTTGTATATTTGGAAGGATTTTTAATTTTACAGATTTCAAGAATATTGAGCAATATATGGATGAAGAGACGGAGGATGAGGTTGATCTCACAAATTGTAATGTTGAGGATATGGGCTCCAATAAAAGTATCATACTAAATTTATTGTCACAACTTAAACTGGGAATGGATTTAACTAGGGTATGTTGTAGATATATTATATTTGTAAAATGTATAAAAATGTATTTAGGTTTGCATAGTACTAGTACAGTTCTGAATATTTTGAAACACGCAATGTAGGTATAGATAAAACACACAATGTAGGTATAGATGAAACACACAGTGTAGGTATAGTTGAAAAATCTTCAGTGACATTTCATGTAAATCTAAGATGTGCAAGAAGCATATCTGACGATGTTTCATTTAAATAGGAATTGGCTAGGAGCTTGGGTGCATACATCAACTGAAAGCCTTAATGCTCAAGTTCAAAAAAGTTTTAAAAAATTGATATAGTGGTATCAAAAACTAGGATACGTTTGGGAAGAGTTGTGGTTCTGGAACCCATTTTATTTTAAAACCTAATTGTTTGTTTTTAATTCAAATATAAAGTACTAAAATTTGCAATTATAGTATATTTTTAACATAATAATTTAGACTTCTAACTGTTACTGAACCTTCCTTGAAAAAGAAAAAAAAAAACAATTTTTCTCTTTAAAAATTTTTTTTTCCTGCAATTTTTCTTTACCCAAAAATGTTTGCTGAGTTTTGCGATCAAAAAAAGTTTACTAATCAAATAATGTATTTCAATATTTAAAGCATCACGATAACTTTGCAAATTTAACTTTTGTATAATTTGTTTATAAATTATATAATATAAATTATTTAGAAATATTTTTAATGATAGCACAAAATTATAACTAAAAACTGCTATCAAGAAATAAATAAGTCTCTTTACTATAAAAAACAATGCTATGGTCAATATCATTTGACTACAGATTATTTTGTAATAGCCACATTGATCACATCACTGGTTGGTTTACATTTATGAGAATGGCAAGATGCAAAGAATGTAAAGCTGGAATAGTATAAGTTAGGTTTCGAAAATGATGCTGCAGCATCATTCTCGAATGCCAAAGTTTTGCCAATTTTAATTATTTTTATATTAGGAATTTAAATTTTTTTTTTTTTTTTTTTTTTTTTTTTTTTTTTTGTATTATTTAATTTAGAATTAAAATGTTGTTGTTTTTATTTTAATTACTTTATTTAGAATTTAAATGAAATATTCTTTTTTCCGTTGTTTTTTTAAACTATTTTATATATTATTATAGTTTTTTTTTTATTATTGAATTTAAATAAAATGTTTGTTTTTTCGTTTTTAATTTAATTGTTGTATATAGAATACAAATTATATGTTCATTTTGCTGTTGCTTTCAAATTAATTTATTGAGAATTTAAATAAAATGTTTGTTTTCCTGTTTTATTTAGAAAATTAAATAATACGTCACAGTGAACCACAATAACTGCCAGGTTTGATGTCTTCCCACATTCAATTTTTTTTTCTTATTAAGAAGTAACATAATATATAAATTAGGTAAAGGTATTAAGAACCTCCATAGGAATGGCTAGAATAAAATTTTTACACATCTAAACTTTAGATAAAAAGGGGAGGGGTAATACATGGTTAACTTTATCAAAGTTCATATATTTCAAATAATTTTATGCAGAAACCTAATTTTTACTGTGTTCTTGTGTACTTCCATATTATAAAAGCATTAAAAAGTGTTCGGACATAAAAAAAAAATGTAGGTATAAAAGCAACAACAGCAAAATGCAATTAACGCATTTAAGGTAAAAAATATCTTGACTAAGCTTTAAAATACACAAATAACATTATATTTTATATTTGATTAAAATTTTTCATTCTATTAAAATACTTTAGAAACAATAGTTTTGACATTGTGGGTCAACAATATATTAACTTGAATAGTAAACTATTTATTGAATGTTGAAAATTCCACAACACTTGACTTCAATTGTTTAGCATAATCTGGGTGGCTTCGTCGTCTCATATACTTAATCCATGTCTTTTTAAACTCATGATGAACAGATTCACCTGCTTGTTCCGAGTAAATTCCAAGTCCATTATTAGTATTGGTACTTTTTAGAAATGGTACAATATGGTTAACTGCAATATGAACTTTTAACGGTATATTCAAAGAAATATTATTAAAGTAAGTATTAATATAATCCATTAAATTAGCATAATACATATTGAATTCGAAAACCAATAATTTTTTCTTCAAAGGTAGCTTGCTTCATTACTTGAAACTTTCTCAAACATTTAATTACTGGCAATAATTCAAGCTTTACTTGATCAGCAATTGCAGAGCATCTAACTTAATTAAAACTAACTTTTAAACTTAAAAGTAAAATAATACTTAAAACAACAATAGCAGAGCAAGAGCATCTAATCTAAAAGTCTGTTGGCATTGTTGCCGTCAAATCGAATGCCATGGTAACCTCTGAAAAATATTTAATTTGACCACTTTTCAAAGCCAGGCCATAGTTTTGATAATAGTTTTCCAAAAGTTGTAACTTTTGGATTAATTCCGATTAATGTATGCAACTCAGGTACTGGAACTAAATTTTCTATAGTTGTGTCTGGATCCTCTTCAAGATATAATAGTCTTGGATTAACAACATTTTTATAATCAGCCATCTTTGATTTTGGTTTTCCAGCTTCTGTATATTTAGTCTAATGATAATCGAGGGAACGAAGAGTTCGTTTTTCTCCACCATCCAAAAGTCTCTTCGCACCACAAAACTATATTTTCCAGCATGGCTTGTAATGCCAAACATTGAGTTTGCACACTTTAAATCAAATGCAACAGAATATTTTGAAGATTAAGAGTATCAACTAGTTTTCTAAGATTTTCATTGTGTTCAGACTTCTATAATAGCAACAATAAAACAACCCTTAACTCTAGCATCATCAAGGTCAGGTTGGTTGCAAGTTTTATCATGCGGATTAAAAAGATTCATAGTGACCTTTTAAAAACCTTGACCAGAATCCACAGCAACTCATACAATTGTATGGTTTCTCATGAGTAGCAATTGTGAATTTTTCACCTCTAAAAATATTTTCTTTTTCTATTTTTGTTTTTAAAATACTTGAAGCAACACGTTCTGCACTTGCTAATCCCAATGCATATGCTGCATTAACTAAATTTTTCACAGCTTGTACATCATTACAAAGATGAATAATGCCTGATTTAACAACTCCAGAACATTTTAGGCACATCCCTTCATTTTTATCTTCATTTAACTCAGAAGTAATAATGTTAATATCTTTTGTTATTTCTCAAACATCTGAAGTTCTTCTGATATCTTGACAGTTTATCTATATATATAACAAGTTGTTTAAAATTTTTTTATTTATAAAGTTTTATTAAATCATTCAATGGTTCAACAAAAATAAGGAGCTGAGTCTCAATGAATCATTGATACACAGCTCTTTTTACAAAATTGATAAAAATAAAACTTTTAAATACTAAGTCTTAAATATAGTTTTTTATTAATCTTACCAACTAACCTGAGAAATTTGCTTTAGCTACTTATCAAGGTATTTTGTATCATTATTTTCCAAACAATAAAGGTTTTTATAACAACTGCTACAAATTTTTTTTTTATTTATGTGCATTCACTCCCAACAAGGCTGCAAGCAACCACTATTAAGTTGGGAGTTACTAGGAAAAAAAAAAGAACAGACTTATAGAGCAAGGAAATGGTTGACAGAAGACTTGAAAAGTTGAAGGTTGTATGAGTCAGGAAAACATGAAGATGGGAGAGAGTTCCAAAGGATTGAAGTGCGGGGAAAAAAACTAGATGAATAAAAGTTTTTAGAGCATGCAGGGACAGATACAGTAAACAAATGAGACTTAGCTGAATGACGAGTAAAACGAGAATGAATTTTAGTTGATGGAACTAGAGATGATAACTCCTTTGAGCAGTGACCATGATAGTATTTGTAGAAAAGAGAAAGAGATGCAACTTTACGACGATGGGAAAGAGGTTCAAACTTAGCAGATAGCCCAGGTCCAACAACATTTACAATGCATTTTTGGACCTTGTCAAGAAGAGAAAGTGAATTGTTAGAAGAACCAGCCCAAATATGACAACAGTATTCCATACAGGGGCGAATAAGAGATTTGTAGAGGTAGAGAATGGAATCAGAAAAAAGGAAATGGCGAGCACGATAAAGAGAAGCAACCTTAGCAAAAGCTAGTTTAGCAATCAATTGTATATATGGTTTCCATGAAAGATCAGTAGTAAGCGATAATCCAAAAAGACGTAAAGAGGAGGACTCAGTAAGAGGATTGCCATTCATTAATATAGGAATGTTGACCATATTACGGTAGTTGTTTGCAGTAAGCAACTGGGTTTTTTTAGAGTTGAAATTCACAAGCCACTGTGAACCCCAATTTATTACTGAAGTGAGATCGGATTCAAGATCAGCTGCTTGTTCTAGGCGATCGAAAAGAGAAGACTTTTTGTCAAGACAGGAGTATAAAGTTGAGTCATCAGCAAAATAAGCTACTTTAGATAAAAGGTTGTCAGGAAAATCGTTTATGTAGATAAGAAACAAAACAGGGCCCAGGATGGAACCTTGGGGAACCCCAGAAGTTACTGGAAATAAAGAAGAGTGTTGGCCTTCAAGGATGACTTTAATAAACCGGTTAGAAAAAAATGATTTGATAATCTCAAAAACTTTCCCAGAAACACCATATGAAGCAAGCTTATGGAGAAGACCAGCATGCCAAACTTTGTCAAAAGCTTTAGATATGTCGAGAGCAATAGCCCTAGCCTCACCGCCTCCATCTAATGCACGATAAAATCTTTCAGTTACAGCAGTTAGCAAGTCGGCCGTAGAGCGAGAGGATCGAAAATCATATTGATTGTCTGACAGTAGTTTATTTGACTCAAGATGAGATGTGAGGAATTTAATTGATATGACTTAAGCAACAGAAGCCGGAGTGGTTTGAATGTCTAACAATGGGTCAACCTGTTTGACTGGAATGGAAGGAAGAGAATGTCCATAAGATTCAAGAGTGGAATTAGAAGAAAAGTTCTTTGCAAATAGTTCTGCCTTATTCTTGGGAGAGGTAATAAGATCAGTCCCATGAATGAGAGATGAAATGTTAGATCTACCCTTGTTAATAATGCTGTTGAAGATTTTGCAAAAGTCTTTAGAGCCTAACTTCTGTGATAAGATGCGAGATTTAGTAAACTGAGATTAATGGAGTTTAGCATCAGAAAGCACCTTTTTACATTGATTTTTTGCAATAGTAAATAGTCGTTTGTTCTCAAGAGAGTTGTTCTTTTGAAAAAGATGAAAAAAATGATTACGATTGGATATAGCAGCCGCACAAGAAGGAGAAAACCATGGAGTAGAATGAGGCTTGACTTGAAACCGACGCGAAGGAATAAAAGCTTCCATTCCAGCCTGAATCCAGGAGGTTATGTAGGAGGCGCATTTTTCAGCTGAGAGAGAAAAAACATCAGCCCAAGGACCATCACGAAGAAAATCACAAAAAGAATCCCAGTCAGCTTTAGGGTAGTAGCAGGTTGTGCGATGATAAGGTGAGCCCAAAAAAGAAGTACGAGAAGAAAGACTTATAGAGATCATTGCATGGTCAGAACCACCTAAGGGAGAAACTGAACATAAGCTAGGGTCAGAGACAAGACATAAGTCAAGGAGTGAAGGTAAATGATTAGGGTTGTCAGGAAAACGAGTCACAAAGTTAACTATCTGAGTAAGAGTTTGAGAAACGCAGAAGTTAAAGACTTTAGTGCCAGCAGGATCAGTGGTGTAAGAGTCAAGCCTCAGAACTATTAAACTGAGTTTTAGAGCTGTACCCTCATATGGAGATAACAGGAAGAGTTGCATAGCCATTATCAAGGAGGCATAAGCAAAATTCTATGAGTAGAGTCAAGGAGATCCAGCATTCATCATCCTAGGCAGGAAACAATGTAACACAGGTTACATCTATACCAGCCTAATAGATGAAGAAGGGGTTCGAGGCTGGTTAGCAGAATTCTTCTGTTTACCCCTAAAGTCCTAGGAGGCCTTCTACAAGACAGTAGCTGGATGCAGTTCACATCTGTCCAAGATGAGTATTTTTATCGAGACACCATCTCTAGCCTTTACTCAACCAAGAGCCCCAAGGCAGGGGATGTTTAGCTGGATGCAGTTAACATCTGCCCAAGATGAGTGTTTTTATCGAGACACTATCTCTAGCCTTTACTCAACCAAGAGCCCCAAAGCAGGGGAATTTTTAGTCTGAGTTTATTTCTCCTAGCCTTTGCCTAAGAAGAGCACACTCTGCAAGGCAGCAGGGCTTGTGGCAGGTGGTGCTGGTTTACGTGATACCAGTAGCAAGATTGATCTTGATTATTGGAGTAGTTAAAAGGAGTTCCCGCAACAGTACTTTGAGAAAACCAGGCATGATATTTTGGAAGTGCATAGGAAAATGCGGTAGTGGTGTAGTGGTAGAGCGCTTGCTTCATAAACGAGTGGTTCCGAGTTCGATTCCCACCACGTCCCTGGTAGTACCGCGCTCAACTCGTTTCTCCGCCCAGCGGCCTTGTTCGCCAAGGTTCGTGAGCTAATACAGTAACTAAGGCACCTCCAAAAAAAAAATAATAACAGGATGGTTTGCTAAATTTTGATCATAACTATCCCAAATTAAAGTTTTTATTTTTTCTTCAATAGCTTTAGTTATTTTACGAAGCTTTGCTGACTTTTTACCAAAGGTTTTTCCCGAGGGGTTTTTACTAAATAAGTATTTATTTTCATATATACAACTAAGTATATATATAAAAATCTGATGTAGGGAGACTTTATACCTGGCGGTCACTGTCGTTCATTGTTATGTTTGTTGCATGGGGGGTTTTTTTAATAATTTTTTTCAGAACTTAAAAAAAACATTTTTTTGTTTGTTTGTTTTTTTGTTTTTGCAAAAGTTTGGGTTCACTTGATAAATATGATATGGACAAAAAAAAGATTTTTCACATCGTTTTGTTTACAATAAAGTTGTTTATAATTATGTTAAAAATATTGTTTACAAAAAAATAGTCTTTTAACATAATATAATCTATAAATACTTTTAGCATAATAGAAGATAATTTTAAAGATCATGGATTATATATATATTTTTTAAAGAGTTTTTTTAACAATTTTTAATTACTTATGTTTACAGTTAAATAATTTTTCAACAAAATAAGATGACATTATAAAGTAGCTTTTAGTATTTTTTTTAAACATTTGATTCTTCAAAGTATCCTCCTTTTGTTTTATAACAGCAGCACATACTCTGCGCAGCCTTACAATCAATTTCTGCAATGATTTTGTTGATATTGTTCCTGTATGTTTGTATGAACACCCAAAGGTGTTTTTGATTAGTTGGTTGCATTTTTCTTACATTTCTATCTAACTCGTCCCACAACAACTCAATTGGGTTAATATTACAGCAAGATATCTCCAATTATTGCAGCAAAATATACCCAATTATAACAGCAAAATATACCCAAAGTATTCATTATTTTAATGATGTTAATATACTCTATGTACCAAATAGTTGTATGAATATCTTTTTAATCAAAATGTTACAAATGCCTAAAATTAATGTTGCACATTTGAATGTAAGGATTTAATTTTTTTTAAAAAGAGCAAACTAATGTTAGTTTGGATCAGAAGGAGCTTAAAAAAAGTAATTAAAAAATAAAATAATTTACTCAAACTTTTGATCAGTAGTGTGAGTGTGTGTGTGTGTATATATATATATATATATATATATATATATATATATATATATATATATATATATATATATATATATATATATATATATATATATATATATATATATATATATATATATATATATAAAATAATATATATATATATAATATAAAATATATATATATATATAATTATATTATATAAATTATATAAATATATATATATATATATATATATAGGCCTCAGCTGAAAGCGAGAGTTTTAGCTCTTGCTCTTGCCCGCACTTCCCTAAAATGGTTTGCAGGAGCAATTTACGCCTCTTTGAAAAGTATAAAACGTATAATTTTTTCTCTCAAAAGTTTATCACTATAACTAAAATAAAAAATACAAAGTCATTTTTATTTCAAAAAAAAAAAATTGCATAATAAACTGCAATACTTTGAAAAAGACACAGTTGTTGCAACAAAAAAAAAAAATTAAAATTAAAAAAGTGCCAGTTTAAATGTTATTGATTAGATTGGACTAACTGATAAATAAGCAGCAAAAACATTTAGAACTCTTTCTCAAATATTTTATCAAACAAGTAATGTTGTTAATAAATAAATGGATAAATAGCTAGTGTGAAAACCCAAAGACAACGCTTGTCTAAAGAGTTTTTTCACTGTGCAATAAATGACATATATTATGTAGCATTTATTATGTAAATTGCTTGATGACATATATTATATATTCTTGTAGCATTTACTTACAAACATATACTTGTAACAAGTTTTATTTAATAAGCAATTTTTTTAATGAATAAACAGATAGCTTGTACAAAAACCAAAAGCTCTTGTAAGAATCTGTTTAGAGAAGCAACTCCCATGGCTCGCCATGTTCGTTTTATTAGAGCATTTCTCTGCTCTTGCGCTCATATACTCCCGCCGAGGCCTGTATATGTATATATATGTATATATATATATATATATATATATATATATATATAATATATATATATATATATATATATATATATATATATATATATGAACACATGCATAGATACATTTCTTATATATGCTAATATGAAAGAGTGAAAATTAAAAAAAAAAGTTAGGTTTAAAAATTTCAAAAAGTTTTTTAAGTTTATAATATATAAATCAATATAAATCTATTTTAAATGTTCAATATGAGTTTAGGCAAAACAAAAAAACATTATAACAAGTGAAAACAAAGTTGTGTTCAAAAAAGAACTTTTCCAAATGTTAAAAAAATTATGTTGATGATTGAAGCATTTTAGATATTTTATGATTTAAAATTTTTATGATTGATATATTTTGTGATTTATAACTCTAATGGTTATATGAATAGTTAGAGCTTTAATGATATGAATAACTTTATTGGAAAAAAAAATTTTATTAGGTTGTATTACCAACATTTGTTCTGGAAAAGCGATCTCTTTTGGAAATGTATGCCGATTTTTTTAGTCATACAGACATCTTTCTTAAGTAAGTAAATTTTATATATTGGATACACTCACCTGGTACTTGTATTCATATTTTAACAATTTTAATGTTAGTTTTTTTAAAAAAGAAATGTTTTAATTGTTTTGCTAATAGCATAGCAGATGGTCAAACACCAGAAGATAGAATGCTTGCTGTTGTTGACTTCTATTTGACTTCTTTCCATGTTGGGCGTCAGGTAAATTTGTATGTATATAAATATATATTTTTATATATATGTTTATGTATGTATAATAGAATGTCAATTAAACCAACAATGACAATGTTTCAAAATAATAATATTTATGTTCAAAACCTTTATAGTGGACATAAATATTATTATTTTAATATAATATTTATTAATTTACATAATATTATTATGGAATCAATAATATTACCAGGGTAAAAAAAATCATTTTATATACAGTTTGTTATTTAAGATTTTATTGGATAAAAACTATTGTTCTTTAACATATAATTTTAAAGTTAATTTTTTCAGTATTTTTTTTTTGGATATAATTTTTGCAACATATTTTTCTATTCTTTAGATAAGTTTGTTAGTTTAGAAATTTTTTACTAAATACCATCTTTTTCCAATTATGTGACCAGATGACTAATCTAAGAATTTTACATTTTTTAATTTTTATTACATATCTATCTTGCAAACTGTAAAAAAAATGTGTAATAGAAATAAATTTAAATTTTTTTTTTTTTTATCTTTCGCTTTTTTTAAGTGTAAAAATAAAACTTATGCATTTAAACTTATGCTAATAATATTTAAAAAAAAAAAAACACAATTGGTATTTTAAAAAACAAGCTGTATATACAGTTTAGTTCCCAGTTTTTTATTTTTTTACTGTGTTGTTATAAAAGCCATCTAGCCTATTTGTCAATCGTTCAATTCTTCAATGAGTGTGTATACATTTTGTTTTTTTACTTCACTATACTTTCATTTTTCAATAATTAACTAATATATATGTAGATTTTTTTTATTATTTTACAAAAAAAGTTGCAATAGATATTGTATGAATTTTATCTGATAAGATTATATTTTAGTTATATTTATTATAACTATATTTTATTTTAATTATTATTTAGATTATAATTATTTTTTAGTCTTCTGTGGCAAAAAAGCCTTATAACCCAATCCTGAAAGAGCACTTCCACTGTTCATATAAAGTTGTATCATCACATCAAACATTACTTGATGATGAAGATACTAACAAAAGTTTAAATAAAGAAACTTCTAAAGTAGAAACTCAAGCAGTTACAGATTCTCAAGAATACCATTATCTTAATTTCTTAGCTGAACAAGTTTCACACCATCCACCAAGTAAGTATTTAAAAAATGATTCTTTACCATTAGCCAGTAAACATATCGTCAGAGTCTATATAGCAACAACAGCAATAACAACAATTGTTGTAGTAATAGTAAGTTACAAAGTTTGAAAAGTTTATTTTATCTGTTTAAAATAATTTTGATAGAAATATTACTACAACACTGTTTTGGACAAGTTTTTTGTTTAAATGCAGCTGTGTTGGTAAATTAAATACTTTTAACAGGGGTATCTTAAAAAACTATTATATTTTTTTTCTTTTTCTAAATATTTTCAAGTTTTTTAGGAGCAAAGTTTAGTGAAAAAAAGTATGTGAGAGTCCTAAAACCTTTAAAATGAAAGCAACTCTAGAGACTCTTAAAAGCTGATTTTTCGTCTTATTTTAGGATTTATTTGATTTTAGGACTCCTTAAGTATTTACATAGTAAGTATTTACTTTATGAAATTTGAAAGTTTTTTAACAGTTTTGGAGCTCCACAATTACATAATATAGATAAAAATAAAGTTGAAAATTTGTTCATTTCAGTGCGGTTTGACGACTAAACCGGAGTTATTTCTTTTTTCTCATCCTTTATTTTTAGAATAAATAATTGCAATACAAAATTGACATATCACTGGTTGAAAAATACATACAAAATTAAAATATCGCTGGTTAAAAATTGCTAGATATTGGTTTCTTAATTTGTCTATTTTATTTATGGCAATTGCCTAAAATCTACTTTTTCCATATCTGCTAATATATCTTTAAATGTTTTGGTCATTGTATACATCCAAAATAACTTATTTAAAGTATGTGTGTATATATATATATATATATATATATATATATATATATATATATATATATATATATATATATATATATATATATATATATATATATATATATATATATATATATATATATTATTCAAACGTTTAATAAAATATTTGGAATATTAAATTCTAGAACCAATAAATCCAAGCTTAACTTTTATAGTAAATTACCATAGTTAAATCTGTAATTGGGGAAATACATAAGATTATTTCCACCTTTAAGGTATTTGTTAAAAGCAGTAAGCATACATTTAAATTCATAAGGCATTCATTCAAAAGCAGTTAATACATTTAAATTAAATTCTTTGTAAAAGATAAAAATACTTGTTGCTACTTTTTAAAGTATGTCATTATATTAATTTCTATTTTAAGGATTTATGGATAAGTCAAATGCATAGATCGTGTTTAAAATACCAATTATATCAATCCAGTGAAATATCTAGACTGAAATAACAATTATACAGCTCAGTTCAGTTAATTATGTGTTTCTTTAATCAATAATCTTTAAATATGTGTTTTTTTTTAATTAAAAACTTTTAAATACAGTAGGAAAGGTAAGTATCCGGGCAAAACATTTTTCTGTAAAAAAATTTTGACAAGTAATTTTACAAAAAAAAAAAAGTTATTTATTATATATATAGATATTTTAGACACCACATTTTTGATCCAGAATGGTCCACAGGTGTTCAATTGGATTAGGATCTGGACTTTAAGCCAGTCATTCAATTGGATTAGGATCTGGACTTTGAGCCAGTCATTCAATTGGATTAGGATCTGGACTTTGAGCCAGTCATTCAATTGGATTAGGATCTGGACTTTGAGCTAGTCATTCAAGCAACTCAATCTGTTTCTGGATAAAAACTTTTGTTTTTTCTTTGACGTATGCTTAGGGTCTTGTTGGAAAATAAAATGTTTCCCTTTTTGTAGTTTTACAGTTGAACCTGACGATTTAAACTTCAAAGACATAAAATTCAAAGTTCATAATTCTATTAATAAACTCCAGCTTTCCTGTTCTGTTCTAAGCCATTTATCCCCAGGCCATAAAATTGCCTCCTCAAAATTTTACTGATCCTTGAATGCAACTAAGTGTTTATTTTTCGCCTTTTAGCCCCATCAGACTTCATAAGATTGAATTTTGATTCATCACTCCACAAAACTTTTTTTCAGAGTGATAGAGGCATATTTACATACTGTTTAGCAAATGCATGTCTTTGATTTTGAAGGGTTTTTGAAAGAAATCAGTTCTTGCACAGAATTCTTGTTTTAGAACCAATTTCTTTTAATTGATTTCAAGTATTACATGCACTCACTTGTATTCTAAATTCTTTTCAAGAAAGCTTGGCATTTTTGATGCTATGAAAATTGGTTTTTTTGCACTACCATGACATTGAACATCAGTTCAATGTCATGGTAGTGCAAAGTGTTTCCTGATCTTGATGTTATTTTACACTTGGATCCTGATCTTGGCTAATTTTTCCTATATCCAAATGTTTTGTATTTTTTAATTAAGTCATTGATAGTTCCTAATTTTTCACACACCCAAACATTTTTTACTTTTTAATTAAGTCACTGATGGTTCCTAATACCATTCCAGCCACTTCTTTTATAAATGTTTTACCTTGATTGAACAACTTAATAACTAAATTAAGCTTAGCATTCATTTTATATTTGAGTACATCAATGGTAAATCAAATGAATTTAAAAAATATCAGTCAATTATCAACAGTAGCTTGTTATTAAACAACAATATAGCTAAAACTGTTGATTAAAAACAAATACTAAAAAAAAATAATCATGTTCAGATCTTTGGTTGAGATTTTAACACTTCTTACAGAGATTCTAAGTTTTAGCAAAAAAAGTTAATTAACATTGTTTTTTTCTTGCTTTAAAGCGGATTTCTTTTAATCGATTTCGAGTATTACATGCACTCACTTGTATTCTAAATTCTTTTTCAAGAAGGCTTAGCGTCACTGTTCACATTTTTCTAAATTCTTTTTCAAAATGGCTTTTCCATTTAAAATCCTGATTAAATTTGCTTTTAGAATAATCATAAAGTATTTATCAATATCTTTTTTTTTTCCTAAAATAATCTAAAAAAATTTCACAATAAAATTTTTTGTTTAGATAATTATCTCTCTGACTTTAATAACATCATTTCTTTAATAACAACTTGAAAATATAAGAAAAAAAAGTTAAAGAATATTTTTAAATAGCAGTAAAACTTATATGCAAAGTCCAAGCAATACATATATGTGTATCCAATATCCATGCAATACATATATAACATGTATCCAATATCCATGCAATATAATTTGTAGTATTAAATATATACTTCAGAATTTTTTTTTGTAATTTTTAAAATAAAATTTATTTCATAAATTTTTTTATGTATTTAGTTTCAGCATTTTATGCAGAATGTAAAACTAAATCCATTAGTATGAACACTCATATATGGACAAAATCTAAGTTTTATGGGATGTCAGTTGGTGTTGTAAATGTTGGTGAAGGTATTTATTTAAAATTAATATTATTTATGAAAAAGCAATTAACTGTTTTCAATATAGATGTATTATGAGTGATATTTTTGTGGTAAGGTGTCATTAACCTTCCTCTCCATGATGAAGAATATGTGTTAACATTTCCAAATGCTTATTGTCGGTAAGTTTATTACCTTGATATATTATTTATACATAAAGTATATGTAAGCGTGTGTGTGTATTATATTTGGCTTCCTAAGCCCAAAGGAAAACTACAGTTAAGGAGTCTACTAGATTGTTTGTTTTTTCAAATTATGTAAGACATTATTTTGTTATATATTATTAGATATATTTTTTTCTTTCAAATTTTTTAAAATACAAATGAATAAAATTTATAACACTTGTTTTTAAGCTCAATTTTAACAGTACCATGGATGGAGCTTGGTGGGCGGACATATATTCGTTGTCCTCAGACCGGATACAATGCAACCATTTTGTTTCATACAAAAGTAAGTTGACATAGACAAAGTAAGTTTTTACATATTAGAAGTGTTTAAATTAATATAAGTTTTAAGTTTTAGTTTCACATTCTGAAGAAGAAAAAAAAAATAGAAAAATTGTGAAATTTGAATAATAATTAAAAAATATATACTATATTGAAAAAATTTCAAATATAAATTATTCATGGTCTTTACCTACAATAAAACTTTATCTTATGCTTTCTTATGTTTTTTCAAAACTTACTGTAAAAAACTAGCTTGATATTTTCTTATGTTCTTAAGACTTACCTTTAGATCTAACTGTATGTTCTTTTATGATATTAAATTTATGTTAATGTAAGGGTGTATATCAGAGTTTATTAACAAGGGTGTACATTAGAGTGTGGTATCAAATAAAATGTTTAGTATCAGAGTGTATATTAAATCGAAATTTCTGCATCAACATTTTTTCACTTTTTTTTGTTTAGAAAAATAAAATAACTTGTTAATAAGCTTTAATAGTTAGCAGAAAAAATAAAATAACTTGTTAATAAGCTTTAATAGTAATTTTAAAAAAAAAACTTGTTAATTTTAATAGTTAGCAGAAAAAAAGGTTTAAAGGACAGAAAACTTTTATGGATTTTTTCACTAGTATGTTATCAAGCATTTCCATATGTTTTACATACCTAATTTTTATTTTAAAGTTTGTCCAGCAGAACTCTTTTGTTTTTAGAAGCAAAACCAGCTAAGCAATAAATACTTTAAAGGGAAATATATTTTGTAATGTTTTTTGTTGTTTGTAAAAAATATTTATTAGGTAATCATTTATTTGTTAATAATGTATATTTTAACTAAAAGTAATAACCTTAGTTTTTGATAAAGATAATTATGCGTATTATGTTTGATACTAAAAAACAATTTTATTAATTTTAGCCATTCTATGGAAACAAACAAAATTATATAACCTTTGAAGTGAAGTGAGTGCTTTTAATATATATATTTTTTACCTTCTGAAAAGTTTTCAAATACTAGATATATTTTAGTATATATACATATATTTTAAAAGTAAAAGATTCTGAGTTGCATACATGCAATTTAATGTGGTCCTTAGATTTATGGTTTATAAAATTTAAAGATATTATTCTGATGTGTTCATGTAAATGAATATGTTTTTTATAATTGGTTTTATGAATTAAAAATGTTTTTTATAATTGGTTTTATGAATTAAATATGTTTTTTATAATTGTTTTTTATGAATTAAAGGTATTAATCTGGAGTTTATATGAAAATAAACATGGTTCTACGAGCAGTGTTTTTTTTTTACTTTTTGTGGATAAAATAGTCGCAATAAATCTAAATAAAGAATACAAGGAAGTGCTCTTACATTGACTGAAGTTATGGGTTGGGGCAGCAATCATTTATCTTTGTTAATTGGTGTTTTCTTTTTTCTGAAAAATTAAAGCGCACAAAATATATTAGGAAGTTGTGTTCTTAAAAACATATTACAAATGCAGCATTTAACACACACTTATGATGTCATACTAAAATAGGTAGGTGCGGGGGTTTCAGTACATACATCATCTATCTTATAGCCTGCTGCCGGTAGTAGGTGCTGCTACATTGACTAGAGGTTTTAAGTTGTGGCAGCGATCTTTTCTTCATTGTTTTTTGATTTTTTACTTTTTTTTTAATTTGAAGCACATTTTATGAATTATATGAAGGGCAAAAAAAATATTGCATACTTAGGATTGAATCATTCGTGATATATAAAAACCTTTATGAAACCTTATAAAGTTCTTTTTTTTTTTTTGTTTTAAAGGAGGTATTGAATTATGAAAATCTTTGTTAATTTTTAATGGGCTTCGTGTTGGCTATTTAATTATTATTATAATATAGAATTTGAATAATTTATTTTGATCAATATATTATGTGATCTAAATTTTTAGCAAGTAAATTAACATATAGTTGTCAATATACAGTGGTGTGAAAAATATAGTGGTGTGAAAAGTATGTCGATATACAGTGGTGTAAAAATAAAATATTCAAGTTCATAGTTTTATTCAAATTTTTGTTTTTATTTTATTCAAAATATTAAAAACGAATCACTGTTATATTTAAAATGATAGAAACAAATCCTCGTCAATATATAGTAGAACCCTCTTTTGCTTTAACAAGTGCTTCAACCCTCTTGGACATGTCAGAAATCAATCATTGGCATATTCCTGATATTTCTGGGTGATGTACCTAGATGTCTGTTAGTGCATCAATCAGTGCTACTCTTGTTGTTGGCTTTCTGGTTGCAGTTATGTACTTAATAATGATCCACTAATTTTTAAACATGAGGTTATACCAAAATCTAGCCTCTGCTTTATTATGTAGACTGCCTTTTGACTCAAAACTACAGATTCATCAATTTCTCTCTGTGTCATAGTTTCCAAAAATAATAAAGCCTCCACTTTCCCTCTTTTTTTGTGCACTCGGATCTCCACTATTTTCTATATCAGCAAAAGAAAATAAAAAATTATATTAAATACAAAAAATCATAAAATAAAATAGGATTTGAAATGCTGTATTACTTAAAAACCAAAAGTACATATGTCTTACAATTATATGCAAGTTAAATGTTGAGTGTAAGAATAAATGTAGAATGCAATGCATTCTAGTAGAACTGCACTAAGCAGTGAACGCCTTAGAGAACCATAATAGTTTAAAGAGGGTTTAACAGATTTAGATAAAAGTACAAAAGGACAGATGTCCAGTGGAAAACAAAGAGTCTCGAAGAATAGAATTACTAAAAATTAATCATATTTAAATGTAGTAAATATAAACAGAAATAATAAACAATAGTCGAGGAAAGTAAGAGACATTAATTGTTGTGCTAATGAAAAGTTGTTAATGTAGAGCGCAAATTATTCATTGGAGCAGAATTATTTGTTTTATAAGCGTATACTGTTTGGTTTCTGTTATTAGTAAAGTAAATATACATTATAGATTTGTGTCATAGATGTCTCAGGAATGGTATGGATTTGTGCCTTATGGTACAGTATGAACACAAGAAGACCCCCAGCTTTTATCCAAGACTGTTATCCCAACAAAAGGTTCCACTCTAAATGTACACCAAGGTATCCTTTTGTTAAAGTATCCTTTTGTGTTATCTCAAAAGGACTTATCTCAGGGTATCCCATCAGGAAAATTACCACAGACCTCTTTATTGACACTGAGACCAAAAGACACTTAATGGAGTTTAGTACAACTTGCATACAGTTGTAAGTTTTCATAAAACAACAAAAATAATGGAGGTAAAAGATTATATATTATATGTATAGTTGTAACTATAATGCATTACTCACTATATTATTCTTCTCTAACTCAAAAAATATTCCAATTTTTTCACATTATCATTTTTTTTAGTAGTTTTCTAAAATGGCAAAGAACTCAAGCCAATGTTAAACTGTTAAATAAACTAAGTATATCATAACAACTTTAAAATTAGACAAAAAAAAACTGTTTATAATATTTTTCACACCACTATACCTTCAATTATATAATAACTTAAAAATATAAAAATAACACATATATAAATCTATATATACATATACACACATATAATAACATACAATTGTCATTATGCCTTCAATATTCTTTAGTCTTTCCACATAGTTAGAAGCAAAAAATATATATATATATATATATATATATATATATATATATATATATATATATATATATATATATATATATATATATATATATATATATATAAATAAAGAGAGAGAGAGAAAGAAAAAAAAAATTTATCATATTGTATTTTGTGCAATTTAATGCTTATTTATGCGTGTAATCCAATATTCATTCTTGTTACATTGACCATCAAAAATATCTTAAATATCCAAATTCACATAGTTTATTATTATCTCTAACAAATATTCCTGAAATTTCATATCTTATATCTAAATTTAACCCAAAAAAATCATTAGGCCCAAACAGCATTCCCACAAACATTCTTAAAGATTTTAACTATAAATTTTTAAATATTGTCTAAACTATTTAATACCTCATTCATAAATGGAACATTTCCTGATATTTTGAAATTATCTTGCATTATTCCAATATTTAAATATGGTTCTAAACTTTCATGCACTAACTATAGACCTATTTCTCTTTTACCTGACATTAGGCAGCTTCTTGAAAAACTTATGTATTCTAGAGTTTACTAATTTCTAAACTCATTTAATTGTTTAAATGATTTTCAATTTGGTTTTTGTCCAAAAACTTCCTACTTTCCATGCATTATTAAGTATGATAGAAATTTGTGGTGTTTTTATAGATTTAGAAAAAGCTTCCGATACCGTTGACCATAGTATTTTGATTTCTAAATTATAACATTATTTTTGGTCTTATCTTTCAAAAACAATTAGTAATTATTAAAACAATTAGTAATTTAATTCTAATAATAAATCAGTTTTGTGTGGTGTTCCTCAAGGCTCTGTTCTTAGTCCTCTTTTGCTTTTAATCTACCTAACCAACTCTGTTCACTTCTTGTCTATTGAGCAAGAAACTTGAGCTAATGGTATGCTTTGAATAATTCGTCATTATGTTGATAAAGTTACACTTAAGAATATTTACTAAGCATTATTCTCATCTTATCTTAGCTATTGCTGTCAAGTTGGAAACTATCTCATTAACAAGTTGCTATCGTCTCAGCATCAATCCATTGAAATAATAAACTTTCAACCAATTAAATCTGATACAATCTTTTTTTTATTTTTGACTCCTTAAATAAAAACTTACCATCTTCCATTAAAAACTTGTTCATAGAAAGTAGAATAGTACACTCCTACTCTACTAGAAATATATACAATGGAAAACTAAATATACCATCTTTTAAAACCTAGAAGTATGGTAAATATTCTATTGTTTATCAGTGCGTCTGACGATTGGTGTCACTTCTTTAATCAGATTTCTGTATGAGTGACACCATCCTAATAAATCAATAACTTATTGTTATAAATAATTTTATGCTTATAACAGACATTATTTTATTATTATTATTATTTTATTGTAGTTATTGTAAACATACTTATTCTTATTATTACTATAAAGTGTATAAATTTTGTTATTATTACTATTATTATTGTTATTGTTATTATTTTTTTCTTATTATTAAAACTATTGTAAAAATGATTTACAGAAAATAAATAGCTTGTTGTTGTTTATAAACTTTTTACTCAATGTTATAGTTACTTTTAAAGGGGGTATTTTAAATATTTGCAACTAAATTGCATAGAAATTTATAAAAGAAATATATGAAAACCACAATATTTTTCCAAAAAAAAAATAACCACAAGTATAAATATTTAAATAAATTGCAAGTAAGTTTTAATTATTTAAAGTTTAATTATTATTAGAGATGTAATATGCAAGTGTAAAGCAAATGTAAAAAATCTAGAGATGCCGCGAATAGTGATTTTGCCGAATACTGAATACCGAATACTCGGGTATTAGACCCTCTGTTGAATAGCCGAATATTCGGTAACACTTAGAAAATTTTATGGGTGACAATTTCATTAGTTACGCTGGTAAATAATTTGTTCCAATTTTTTTTTTCACAGTAGGTATTTTATATACTCTGAGTTAAGTATAAGTACTTTTTTTTGTTTCCAGCTACAACTTCTTTGATAAACCACCTTCAAAACAAGCATTCTGAGCAGTACGCTAAGTTAACTGAAACTCCGTCTTCAAAAGGAAGCAAAAATGACGATTTACTAACTTATACCGACTCTAATATACCAGCAGTAATAGGTATGTTAAAAAAGAAACAGTTAAATCTTAAAGAGACAGCTGAAAGGAAAACGTGTTGGGATATTAATGATCCAAAATCAATAAAATATCATTATTTAGTTAGAGAAATGATTAGACAACGAACCATTATCACTTGTTGAATGAGCTTATGGAAAAGACAGTACCGCAATACAAATTACTTTGCCACACCTACATGACTGAAAAAATTATCCCCGACATATAATAGAATTTGCACTAAAATTGAAGCTAGTATTTCACAAGCAACAGCAGTATCCGTGACATCTGATATGTGGACATGTCAGCACAACAGCCAAAGTTTCTTAAGTTATACTGCTCATTGGATATCTCCAGATTTTATTCTTGAACATGCTGTTTTAGCGATGAAGCCGTTTTCTGGTTCACATGCTAGTACCAATATTGCAAAAGAACTCAATACTTTTGCAGAAAGATGGGGGATTTCACATAGCGAGATTCATTTTCTTGTCCATGACAGTGGAGCCATTATGATAAAAGGTGTAAAAGATGCAGAATATGATTCTGCTAAGTGTTTTATTCATTTACTACAACTGGCTGTCAATGTATCGCTAAATTCTCAATTAGAAATAACACAGATGATAGCTGCTGCAAGACAAATTGTCACCCATTTTAACTACTCTTGTATAGCACAAGAAAAGCTAAAATGCATTTGTCAAGAACTTAAACTGCCAGAACACCAATTAATACAAGACGTCAATGAAAATGATAAAGCTATTGAGATACACAATAGTTTCTGGAATTGGAAGTTGCTACAGAAAACTCGCACACAAATGAAGATCTCGAACAGAAAAGTTCAACAGAAAATGAAATTGATTTATTTACGAAAACTGTTCACCTAGATCGGAAAGCAGACCCTTACAAGTGGTGGTCAGTTAATGCAAAATATTATCCGAGCCTAGTAGAATTTGATAAAAAGATTTACTTATCATCTCCAGGTAGTAGTGTATATAGTGAACAGCAATTTTCAGAAGCAGGTATAATTTACGAGGAAAAGTTTGCTATCAACAAATGCCCAAAAAATTATTTTCATTCATCATAATTTACCACTGATAAAATATTAAAGTAGTTGTAAATAAAAAAAATTTGTGATTAATAGAATCTTATATATATATATATATATATATATATATATATATATATATATATATATATATATATATATATATATATATATATATATATATATATATATATATATATATATATATATATATAAAGAAAACTTTTAGCAAATATGTAATATGTACATAGTATGTAACATAGTTTACATACTATGTAAACATAGTTGGACCTCTTGTAGCCAACCTCCAATCATTATCACATTGTCATAATGTTGCTTCTCTTTCTCTATTCTATAATTACTATAACAGGCACTGCTCTAAAGAGCTAGCGTTTCTTGTGCTATCTACTAAATTTTATTCTTGTGTTACTTGTATTCAATTAAGTCTCATCTTTTTACTATGACTGTTTCTAAGTGCTTTAAAAATTCCTATTCATTTAGTTTTTTTTCCTTGAACATGTTTTCCTGATTCATATATTTTGTAATCTTTTAAATCGTTTATCAATCGTTATCTTGCTCTATAGACTTCATCTTTTTTCTTCCAGTAACTAATAGCAGCTTTGTTGGAAGTGAAGATGTTAAAAAAAGTCTTTTTTTTTTTGTTTTTGTTTTGAATTTTTGTATTTATATTTTTTTGTTTATTATGCTTTAAAAAAAATCTGCAAGACCAAAAACCCCAAAAAATTTTAAACCTTTTATGAGTATTACCTTTCCGCTCCCAGCAAATAATGGTTAAGTTAAGGAACTAAAAAATAAATCTTCTAAAATTTATAGCAATATTGTTTTTCCACCTCTCCCCTCCCTCCTTGATAGTTCTGCTTGCTAAAATTTATGTCATAATTTATTATTTTCGCTGAAATAAGTATTAAAAACAGCTTAATTAAAAGATTTTGTTGAGTTTATTGCAAAAAAGTTGCTACAAGAAATGTCAAACAGATAGCACTAACTTATATGGCAAACTAGTTCCCTGTGACACGTTTTCCAGGTCCTCTTTTACTTTTTAAAAAAATATAGTCTTAATGAGAGGGTTAAAATTTTATTATATCCTTAAATTTGGAAAAACACCAGGATAAATGTCAGGTAACTGTCATCTATGTTAGAGTTTTATTATGTTGTTTATGTGTTAACGTAATCAATAAGTAAATTTTTATGTGTTAACGTAATCAATAAGTAAATTTTTGCATCTAACCCAGTAAAGAGATTTTTTTTCTTGTAGTAGTAAGATCTTTAAATTCAGACTTTTTCTTTTAAAATAAATAAACAAGGTGAGAGTTCTAATAAGCCAAGGCCGGCGCGTGTAGGTGTCACGTGGGGGGGTGGTGTCATAACAACTTTTGCCGACTAAAAAAAAAAAGTCCTTGATTTTTAAAATTTGCCGACTGCCTTTCGACTGCCATAACAACATTTGTAGGCTGACTGTTTAAATTTACCGACTAACTTGCCAAAAGGGTCTACATTTGCAGACTAACTAGTCAAAAAGGGTCACATTTGCCGACTAAATGAAGAAAAAATCATTGATGGGGAAGGGGGGTTATACCCCTCCCCCTCCTCCTCATTGCACCAGCCTTGGCTCTAAGTATGCGGGATAAGTGTGCATACTTAGGCTTCTGTAGAAAGGTGTTAAATTAAAAGTATGTGGAAAAATTAAAAGTATGTGGAGAAAAGTTTTAATAAGCCTTAAGTATGTACTTAAGGCTTATTAAAACCATTTTTTAATGAATTATTTTTTAACTATTTACTAAAAAATATTGAAGTAAATAAGTATAGAAATAGTCAGTGTGGATAAGACATACCAAAGCTTATGTTTTATGTGTCCGGACAGCTAGTGTTAATTTATCTACATAAACTCATTTAATAAAGCAAATTTAGGTGTACATTTTTCAAACATATTTTGCTCACTTTAATTCTTAAAATGCCAACTTAAATCCAAACAGTTTTTAAAACAAATAAAAAAGTCTGAAAACATAATGATAAAAAAAATTGCTGTACTTAATCTCCTTAATATCTTGGTATACCTGTCCAAACCCTCTTTCGATGTATGTACATTGTCTTTTAACAATTGTATGCATAAATATTTATTTTTTTCTTGTAGCGCCTTTTATATTTATTTAGAAATGCAGAACAAATAATATGTCGAGGTGAAGGTTATTGGGATGGTCAAATTGTGTTCAATTATTCAAGTCCAAATTCTAAAAATGTACATCGTTATTATAAGCCACTTTCCTACGTTTTATGTTTATGTTTTAGCAACACTGAAATAGTTTTAGTTTTCGAAAATGGAAACAACAAGAAGAACACTTTATAATCCAAATTTACCTAGGGTGAAAGTAGAGTACTTGACGTTGCTAGTTTACCTGTTACGAAAAAGATGGTCAGAAAAATCGAGAAACAATCAGAATTTGAATCAAGAAAGTAAGTTTAAAATATTTTATTGTAAATTATGTGTTTATTAGTTTTTATTTTTAAATCTTGTAATATTTTAAATATTATTTATATTTATTTTTATTGCTTTTGTTTAGGCTTTGGCAGCACGTGACATCAGCATTGCGAAAAAATGATTTAGAAGTTGCTACTAGCGAGAAATATAAAGTATATTTTATAAACAATGTATATTGCTTTTTTTTCTCTCCGTCTATTTCTTTGTTTTTTATTTATTTTTGAATTAGTTGGAAGAACAACAGCGGAAAGAAAAACAACAGCGGTTATCCTCTGGAATTGAGTGGAAACCTCAGGTAGAAATATTTAAACATGTTTTTACTAAGCTTATTGCTTTAATCTATTTCCTTTCTAATAAACCTTTTGATAAATATCTTGTTCATTTCGTGATTTAAAAAATCAGTTGATCTAAAATTTTCATTTTTAATCCTTCTTATATTAAAAGACAGAGGAGACTGAAGAATACAGATAAGTAGATGTTTAAGTGTCAAATCAACCAATCAAAAGTCTTTTGTTTAAAATATTGTCTTTAAAAAAAATTGTCTTAGAAAGAAAAGAAACGTGACAGGTATCAGCGAATAGTTTGTGACCTCCCTCATCAAAATATCTTATAGAATTTATATATAGTAGAAACAGGTGACATTTAAAAAATTACTTTGTGGGTCTAAAAACTCATAAATATGAATGGTCCACATAAATAGGAATGATTTAAAAAGTGATTTATGTCAATTTATGACTTTTTTTGTTTTTTGTTTTTAGTATTCTTTTAAATTAGATCTGTTTAAAAAGAAGTATGTTTGAGATGTCTGTCGTTTATTGTTTTAAAAGGAAGTATGGTTGTGATGTCTGTCGTTTATGGTTTTTCATAGTAAAATAAAATTTCTTTACTTGCAATATTAAAAAAAAAATAGTTTGCTGTGCAATCAATTTACAGTGCACTAATGTGTATAGTGCATATTGCAGTGCACACCAATATATATATATATATATATATATATATATATATATATATATATATATATATATATATATATATATATATATATATATATATATATATATATATATATATATATATATATATTGCGATGTTATGCAGCTAATTTTTGTTTTTCGATAAATATCTGTTAATGAGTTTAATAAAAAATATTTGTTCCAGGTCTCATGATCTAATTACTACCGATTTATAATACATAACAAAAAGATTCTCTCTTCGTGACAAAAAAATATAATTTTTATAACTTTTATGGCTATAATTTTTTTATTTTATATATTTCATGTAAACTTTTGCCTTTCAACTTATGTATGAATGTATAAAAGTTTGAAAATAACATTAATTTTTAATGTTTTGAGTTACAAACATTAAAATACCCTGATTCTCAAATAGAGCATGTGATCAACTAAATTTTTTAAATGAAAATTAATAATAAAAGTTTTTAATAGTTTTTTTTCTAAAGAACGAACATTTTTTACTCAAACATTTTTCTAATTTTGCTAAAGAGTCTGGTATAAGAGGTAAGCCGAAATTAAGTTTATTGTGATGTTTAAAATTTCTGAATCATCTGATTAAAAAACATTAAATTATGAAAATTGTTGTGATAAACTTTTGTTTTAACAAACACTCAATTATAAACGAGTGTTTTTCAATTAAAATCTTCATTTAATAAAATAGTCCATTACAAAACGTTTACAGTAGAATACAGTAAAGCCAGACTAATACTAAATAATGTAAAAATTTGTGATGAAAGTCTGAATCAAGTAAAATGTTTACAAAAGCTAAGTAAAGGTTAGAAAAACGAGTTTTAGAGGTCTACCAAATTTGGCATTAAATAATGTTGACAGCAAAGTAAACCTGTTTTTTATTTCAGAGGATTTTCATAATTTTTTGAATTCAGTTTTAGTTAAAAGTGATTCAAGATAAAACCGAAAAGCTTGTGAGAAAATATTTATTATATTTTTATATATATTTTAAAACAATTTTATTGATACAAAGACCATGCTTACGGACAAAATGACCAAAAATAAAAAATGTTTTTGTTTAAAAGCTACCCTTACTGCTTGACAGATATTTTTACAAAACACAAAAATTAGAAAGAAAAATTTAATTTTTATATCGAACAGCAGCGGCGCGGAGATTAAAGCACTGGCTTCAAAATCAAAATGTAAGATCAGTTCAATGCCTATTTCAGCCATAAAAACGACAAGGAAAACAAAATAAATTTCCTCATACAGCGGTGCTCTGTAACTTTAGTCGTTTTGTAGTACCTACACAAATATATAACATTTTTGCATGCAGTAGAAAAGTTATGTTTGAAAAGTTTGTAAATCGCAACAGTTCAATGTTTTAATTTGTCCCTGCGATGCAACGTAAACGTATCATTTTATTTTGCAGCTGTTTTATCTTTACGTGTCCATTTCTTATCGGTGCTATAAATATTTCTATTTTCTCCCATTTTGTAAATATTTTCAATATTTTCGCACTAACGGAAAGATATTTTTTTTTTTTAATATTTTATCAAAGCAAGGTTCTATAAAATATTGAGTATCTATTTTAGTTATTTATAAATCTTATATGTTTTCAGTATTCTTCATAAAAGCAATAATTTTATATAAAATAATAAAACGAATATTGGCAATAATAACAAAATAAAGGTCATAAAAGTGAAATTTTTTTATAAAATTTGGTACAAAAGTTCAGAAGAAGAAAATATATATTTTTTTCCGAGTTTTGTACCTTTAGTAACTAGTCAAAGTTTTTATTAATTATTTACTTTAAATCGTATTTGAAATTTTTTTCATAGTTCTTTCAAAAGCATATGGACGGTTGGTCGTTTAATCCCCAACTTGCAAACGTTCGTCGCAGAAGGCTTAAATCTGTGATAGAATAAACAGGATAATTAAAAATGTTTTTGAATAGTTTTTCAATTATTGAATTGCTTATTTTATTTTTTAAATATAACAAAACTAAATGGATTAATTATTCTATACGTTATGTTTTATAAAAGATGAATTCTTTTTTTACCTAGTCAGCACAAAATCACTGAGGAATAATAATGGGAATCAGAACAGTTTTATTTTACTAATTTCTTCAAGATTTTCTTTAAGATAAAAATTTATTTTTATATCACGTTTTACAAGTATAACCGGGTACAAAATTCATAGCGTACGTTTTAAGTTAAATCCTTAAGTTACACCAAGTTATACTGGTAAAACCTCATATAGAGATAAATATATCTTGAATGAATTAATTTTATTTTTTTGAATATAAAGTATCCAGCAAATGTTTTTCAAATTTTTGTTAAAATAAAACAATTACACCTCTGGTGTAACCATGGTCTAACAACAACTGAGTTGTTTACAAGTCCTATAAATAATAGGCCAGCTTTTAGTTCAGTTCTTTATTTGCTTAAGCAAAATTTTTTTTTTTTTTTTTGTCAAATTAAACTTTTATTTCAAAAGCATACATAAAATAGTTCCAATAAGAAATTTTAGTAACAAGTTATAAAAAAAAAAATTTAATTTTTTGTAAAATACTTCAAATTTTAGCCGAAAATGGCCTAAAACTGTACCCTTAAATAGTAAAACTGTACTCAAAAAAACTCAACAATAAAATATCTATTCCTCTGAAAATTTTGCACAGATAATATCACTTATATTATCTAGTTCCTGAACTAAAATGAAGTTCATTGCACTAGTAGATAGACCAATTTTTGAATTTTGCTGTGATTTATACCACTTTTCGTGGGGTTTACATGAAAAAATCCTAAACAATGAGTAATAACACTGTAAATAGTGTACCTTATGTCTTGATTTTAGTTCAGTCTCCAGATCTATGTCAGTGCAAATGCTGAAAATTTTAGCTCTATATCTTTAACCAATCTAGAAATATCTTGTTCCATGTAATAGTAAATAGTGAAAAATAAAAACTTCCCAAAAGTATACAATTTTTTAGCTTTTTTGTTCTTGTTTTTCATCAAAGTTCTTGTTTTTCATCAAAGCAGCCTTTAGATGATTCTCTTTAATAGATTTTTTATTATTATTAAAAGTTTTTACTCTTCTCTTATTGCTGACACAACGCCTTTAAAAACGTCTTTCAATGTACCAGTTACAGTCTTACCACTGTGTGGTATATTAAGATATTCAAAAACACGTTCAAGATGTTCCTTTTGTTGAAAATCAATATAGTTGAATTTACTTTAATTTATAGGGTATATTCCTTTATAAACATACTTTTGGGACACTTAGACCAAATTACATTATTGGTCCCATCATTGCAATTTTTTATTTCTTCATTAACACCTTTTCACAAATTGATCATCACTTTAATAATTGAAATTATTTAATACAATATCATAGACCCATATAGGTAGATTAACTTTTAGTTGATAGTTGTTTATAGTTCACCTTCTGATTTTTTCCATATACACTAACTTTCAGAGTTGTACAGGTCATAAAACATGGCGTTACATATGACTTTTGAAATTGGTACAGTGAACACTTGCTTTTTGAAATTGAACTGCTCTGAAAAGTAACAATCGTTTTCAAGTTAATGTCAAATGCACTCATGTCTTTATTTTGTGTTTTTTTCCACGTTATTACTTGTAAAAGTGCACGAACAAGATATACATTTGATTTTCAATTTGTATTAAAATCCTGTTCTCTTTGAAATGTCATTTTGTATGTTTACTTTTTTATTTGACAATCAATGCAGCTAAAAACTTGCATCAAAATTTCTTATCAAATTAAAATTATCTAAACACTGTTTTTCATTCAATTTAAATTTGCAAAGACTTTTAGCACCACAAGTTTTATAGTAAAGTTAATTTTACTTGCTTTATCACTTGCTTTTTGGAACTTGTTTTTAGAGAATGTTCTCTTAACTTTTCTTATACCATTCTTATTTCTTTTTTTTTATTTTTTTTTATTTTATCAGCTAAAATAAAATAATTAAAATCTATAAACATCTTTATTAATAAAGATAAATAATCATATAAAGTTTTATCACTAATTTATCTATCAAAAAGTAAAAATTAGAAATCAAAAAGTAAAATTTAGAAAGTAAAGATACAATCTCCTTGTATAAAGAGGTATCATTATCTCCCAAGGTAGACGTTTTGTGCCAAAAAAAATGCCTACAAGTTGCGTTTATTTGACAACCAAGGTTTGCTTTCTATTCTTAATATCTAGGTTTGATGAAATTCATACTCTATATATTGCGTCCATTGCATATTTTGTACAAAATAGGACAATTATGCCGTTTTCTTAAGAAGTGGCAGTTGTAACACTGTTTGCAGAGCACTTCTGGGAGCACCTTAATAACCACAAAAAAAGAAAAATTCATCAATTTCTTAATTAACTGATTACCTCTGCAAATTTTACAGAAGCACAAGTTTTGCATAATAGTTTTAAATCCATATTGTTGAACCAAGAATCAATTTAAAAACCACACTTGAAATAACGTCTACTTTTGTATTATTGAAAAAAGCAAATTTACGACAATATTATATTCGCCGCTTTTAAAAAGGTTACTTTTAAAAAAATTTAAATGCAACCCTTTCAAATGTGTTGCATTATAATTTATTTTTTTCATAAATTATACTTGATAAATTGTACCAACGTATTCATTTTTTGATAAATTGAAATAATTTATATGAATATATACAATATTTCTATAAAAAAAAAACAACCAATGTGGGTATGTACCATCTTAAAGTAATCAAAAGAATTTTAACAATTTATTACTTTTATTTTATATTATATTACAATTTGCTAGTCTGATAAAATGTCTAAAAAAAGTGTATTGTAGTTACTCGCTGAAGCTCAGTTGTTTACAAAAACCGTTACAAATAAATATCGACGATACTAAAGAGAGTTAATCGATGATACGAAAGAGTTACTAAAACAGTATTCAATTTTCAAGGCGAAGTAGGAAAATTAAATACAGCGTTAATTATAAAACATTATTCAACAATAAGTCAACAAAGACAACCTATTTTGTCTTTCACATTTATTTTTTAAAAAATTGAGTGCCGCTTATTTCCCATTTTTAATAAATGCGTTGTGATACAATTTCAAATTTAAAAAGTATAGGGGAAAGTCGAGTAATCCCGGACGTCGGGTAACTCTGGACACTTGATGCACAGCTTAAACTAAAGGATCTTATTATTAGTGATTTTAAATAATATAAAAATATGATTTGAGTGAAAGTAATAAATTTGAGTAAAAATCATAATATACCGAAGCGATTGGCTGGGAGTGCGATTGGCTGGGAGTGCGATTGGCTGGGAGTGCGATTGGCTGGGAGTGCGAGATATTGTTTCCCGCCACCAGAATAGCGATGCATTATATTTGATTCACATGTTAATATAGTTAAGTTTTATGTAAACTAACAACTTTTTATTGATTAAAGATATATTTTTATTAAAAATAGTTATTAAAGAAGTTTTTTGTTTAAAACTTTAATTCACTGGTTTCAAAACTAGTACTAGTGAATGAAGTACGATCGGGTGGCATCGGACACATGTTTGGAGGGTGGTTCCAGACAACTTAATCCGTTTACATAATAAAAATAAACAACTTTTTTATATAAATATTAATACATTTAATATAATACACAAACCTATAATAGTAATTCATTAAATTCCTATAAAAAGACCTTAGATTTGAAAAAAGTGTTTTTAAAGTATTTATTTTAATTAGTAAAAAGCTATTGTTTATATTTCTAAATTACGACATTTTTATTTCCATTTCTTATATATAATATAGGGAACAAAAACTCAACCATTTGCGGTGATCGGACTTTTGTGGTGATGGTCTAAAAACTGAAAACCACTAACCAACAATCACCGACACCTCTAACCGCTGTCACCGCCAATGCATCACCGCGCACCGCAATCACCGACCGCTGCAGTTAGCTGATAACCGACCATTACCGCAGAAGTCCGATCACCGCAAATGGTCGATTTTTCGTTCCCTAATATAATAGACGATTTTTTTTAAATGTGTTGAGAACAGTCTTATATTAAATTATTATACATTACATTTGTGTCGCACTGGTAAAAAAGCGGAAAAATCATGGTTAAACTATGTGTACGGTGGCTACCCTCCAATTTTGAAACATGACTTTTTTCTGACATTTTTTCTTTTTATGTTTTGTATATTATTAAGGTACAAAATAATTATTTTTTTGTTTTTAATTCGGTAGATGAATGTTTATACTTTTAAAAAAGTCTTTTGACGCTTTGTTTTCTTTTAGTACATGTGTATAATCTATATTTTCCTTAAGTGTCCGGGACTATCCGACCTTCCCCTAAATATATTAATAAATGAATGAGAAACGCTGTTGAATTGCTAAAGATCTGTGTTTTTAAATGCTTTTTTTTTCAATATCTAAGTGAATGATAGAATACCAATTTATAGGATAGTCACAAAATACCAGTTTTAGATCAGATATCAAATCCACTATCACATTAAAAGGAACTAAACCTTTAAGTTAAGATTTATTACCAAAAAGGTATAAATACATTTTACCCAAGCAAATTTCAAAACTCTTAAAAATATTTTGAAAAACTTAAGCAGATGAATGACAGTAAATTAGTTTCCGTGAAGTTCAAGTTTTCAAAAAATAGCATGTCAGGTCTTTAATTAAAAAAAACTTTAACTTTAAATAAATAAATAAAGAACTAGTAAATAAAGATTCAGAACAGCTAAAAAAAATCTTTAACTTAATATAAATTAACTTAACATGAGAATAAAGTTAAAAGTTCATCATTAGTTGCACTTGAACTATTCAAAAATATCATGTTTTATCTACATCTCTTATATGATATATGGTCTTCCTGTCTATAATTATTTAGAGACAGAAAGTCAATATATGGTCTTTTTAGTGTTCTTTTTTTTTTATATTTTTATATTTGTTTTATATTTTACTTAT